CCTGGGGGTGCTGACTCTGGGGGTGCTGTGCGCGGGGGTGCTGAGCCTGGGGGTGCTACTGCTGGGGGTGCTGGGCCTGAGGGTGCTACTGCGGAGGGTGCGGAGCCTGGGGGTGCTGAGCCGGGGGGTGCTGTGCCTGGAGGTGCTGGGTCTGGGGGTGCTGAGTCGGGAGCTGCTGAGTCTGGGGGTGCTGAGCTGGGGGCTGCTGAGCCTGGGGGTGCTGCGTCTGGAGCTACTGAGCCAGGGGTTTCTCCTGCTGCTGCGTCTCGCCGGGAGCCCCTCTCTCCACAGGAGCTGCGCGAGTGGTTCGCTCGCCGCTGGAGGCGTGCTGCTGAGTCTGGAGGTGCTGCTGGAGCTGGAGCTGGGGCTTCTTCGACCGTCGAGGGTGCGGGTGCAGCCGGTCCCGGAGCTGCTGGCCCTGCAGGTCCTCCTGGAACTGGAGCTGCTGAGGGCGTTCGTGCTGAGCCTGCTGCTGTTGGTCCTGCCGCTGGAGGTGTGGGTGGCGCTGGTGCTGTCGCTGAGGGTGCTGGTGCTGTCCCTGCTGAGTCTGGAGCTGCCGCGCGGCCTCGGCCGTACTTCGTTCCGCTCCTTCAGCAGGTTCTTGGTCTTTCTCCTCCAGTAGAGGGTCCACCGCCTGTCCAGTCGCAGCCCCTACTGGAGCCTTCCTCTCCACTGCCTGCTCCCTCTCCTTACACTGGTCCTACTGGAGGTCTTGCTGAGCGTCGTGAGCCTGCGTCTCGTCCCGCGTCGCCTGTTCGTGCTGCTCGCGCTAGTGGTCGCAGTTCGCGTCAGCGTCCTCCTCCTGTCCCTGGCACGCACCGGATGTCTTTGCGTCCGTCCACTGCTCCTCTGCGTGCCCCTTTGCCTTCTCCTCCTGAGTCCTCTCTTCCTGCGCTTGCGGACCCTGAGTCGGACTCTCTTTGTGCTGCCAGTCCCACTGTCACGCGTCTGCTTGCTACTGTCGTCACTGACCCCTCTTTTGAGTCCACTGCTGCGTCTGCTCTAGTCGCTGAGCTCGTCGACTTTGCTGCTCGCTGTCGTCTCGACTACGCTGCTAGTCTTGTTGCTGAGTCTGCGTCTGTCTGTCCTCCGTCCGTCGGGGGTGAGTGTGCTCTTGGCACGGACGTCCTAGAGGACAGGCAGGAGGAGTTACAGTGTCTGGCGGCTGCTTCACCTCATCTCGCGTCTGTACTGCTTGCCCCTGAGGGAGACCCGGATGCACTAGACATCCCGACTCCGCGTTCTTACGCGGAGGCCGTAGAGGGTCCCTACTCCTCTCAGTGGCAGGCAGCTATGGATGCAGAGATGGCTTCCTGGAAGTCCACAGGCACCTACGTTGACGCGGTTCCCCCTCCTGGGGCGAACATCGTCAGTGGCATGTGGATCTTCAGGGTGAAGCGGCCGCCGGGCTCTCCACCTGTCTTCAAGGCACGGTACGTTGCTCGTGGCTTCAGTCAGCGGCAGGGAGTTGACTACTTTCAGACCTTCTCTCCCACCCCGAAGATGACTACTCTTCGGGTGCTGCTGCACATAGCCGCTCAGCGCGACTACGAGCTTCACTCTCTCGACTTCAGCACTGCGTTCTTGCAGGGTAGCCTGCACGAGGAGATCTGGCTTCGCCGTCCACCTGGCTTCACTGGGACTTTCCCTCCTGGCACCCAGTGGAGCCTCCGACGGCCAGTCTACGGTCTCCGCCAGGCACCGCGTGAGTGGCACGACACACTGAGGACTACGCTTGCGGCTCTTGGGTTTGCTCCTTCTACTGCTGACCCGTCGCTGTTTCTTCGCACCGACACTTCCCTGCCGCCGTTCTACATCCTCGTGTACGTCGACGACCTGGTCTTTGCCACAGCGGACACTGCTGGACTCGCCTACGTGAAGTCCGAGCTGTTGAAGAGACACACGTGCACAGACCTGGGTGAACTGCGCAGCTACCTTGGCTTGCAGATCACTCGGGACAGAGCACGCCGCACCATTACCTTGACTCAGTCACACATGGTGCAGCAGGTCCTTCAGCGCTTTGGCTTCACGTACTCCTCGCCTCAGGCCACTCCTCTGCCTACTCGCCACTCACTCTCAGCTCTGCCTTCGGATGAGTCCGTAGAGTCGAGTGGTCCGTATGCGGAGCTTGTTGGCTGCCTCATGTACCTGATGACCTGCACACGACCTGACCTTGCATACCCTCTGAGCATTCTTGCACGCTATGTTGCTCCTGGGAGACCCAGACCGGAGCACATGGCTGCAGCGAAGAGGGTATTGCGCTACCTGTGCAGTACGTCAGGCATGGGGCTAGTGCTTGGAGGGCGGAGTCCAGTGGTCCTTACCGGCCACGCGGACGCTTCTTGGGCTGACGACCAGGCTACGCAGCGGTCGTCACAGGGTTACACCTTCAGCCTTGGTTCCGGCTCTGTCTCGTGGCGGTCTACTCGCTCGTCTTCGGTTCTCGGCTCCAGTTGTGAGGCTGAGATCTACGCCGGGGCCATGGCTGCACAGGAGCTTCGCTGGCTCACCTACCTGCTGACTGACCTTGGAGAGCCGCCTCGTTCTCCTCCAGTGCTGTACGTAGACAACAAGGCTATGCTGGCCTTGTGTCGAGAGCAGCGCTTGGAGCACAGAACGAAGCACATTGCTCTCCGCTACTTCCTTGCTCGTGAGCTGCAGCAGCGTGGTCAGTTGCGACTTGCGTACGTGGCCTCTGAGGCCAACACTGCTGATGTGTTCACCAAGGCACTTGCGCCTTGTGACCATCAGCGCTTCTGCACCCAGCTGGGTCTTGTGCCTGTCTTGCCTCACTTGCTCTCCTCTTGACTTCACTTGTACTGTGACATATATATATACCTGCTCTTGCTTGTCTAGCTTTATATATATGTCTGTACTCTTGCTTGTGAACTGGCCTTTGGCCTTGCTCTTGTGCTCGGACTGTGTGGTGACTTTGTGATCCACCCTGAGCTTTGCTTTGTCTTGCTTGACTGGTCTTGTGACCCCTTGTTCTCCCCCACTTTGCCTATGGGGGTGTGTCAGAACATATCTATAGCTTATACTGCTGTGTAGGCTGTAGTGGGGTATCCCATAGGGGGTACAACCAGTTAGGGTTTAATATTTGTACTGCTTTCGTTCATAGTTCATTCATTCCTGTTTTCCTATTTTCACACATTCTTCACAGGAGGAAATTCACAGCAATTCACAGCAGCCAAGGGAGCCTATTACGTAAAAGCTGGATCCGACCGCATCTGGGTACCAGGGTACACGCTACTACGGGAACTACTGTTACAGGAGGCACACGACGGAGTTACCTCGGGACATTTCGGAGTAGAAAAAACACGGCAGCAGCTGCAGCGGTACTATTACTGGCCGGAAATATTGACCGACGTGCAACGACACGTGGCATCGTGTCCCACTTGCCAACTCATGAAGTCAACCAGGAAGCAACCGGCAGGACAATTACAACCAATCCCACCTCCAGAGCGTGCTTGGCAGCAGGTGACGATGGACTTCGTCACGGGGTTACCGGCCGGGGCGAGTGGGAATGACGCGATCCTGGTCGTCGTCGATCGACTAACGAAAATGGCACATTTCGCAGCATGCAGGAAATCAATCACAGCCGAGGAAACAGTCCGACTCTTCATCGCCACCGTCGTTCGACTGCACGGGATACCAGCGTCAATCATCAGCGACAGGGACACGAAGTTTACCAGTAATTTCTGGCGGAACCTGTGGCAGAGTTCGGCACGCGACTTCAATTCAGTTCATCGTATCACCCCGAAACCGACGGACAGACAGAACGGACAAACCAGACTATGGAGCAACTCATTCGAGCCACGTGTGACGATCCAAACACGTGGGAGCAGCAGCTGCCTCTCATCGAGTTTGCATACAACAACGCGCCATCTGCCACGACCCAACAGTCGCCATTCTACTTGAATTACGGACAGAACCCAACAGTACCCATGACACCAAACCCCGACAATCCCGTTCCACGCGCACAACAGTTCGCCGAGATTTTGCAAGCAGCACGGACCAGGGTAGCAGAAGCAATTAAAAAATCAAATATCATCGCTAAACGCAACGCCGATCGCCACCGCAGACCCGTCACTTATCAGCCCGACGACCTCGTTTTACTCGACACTCAGAACCTCCGCCTGCCCATCACTCCCAAACTCCGCCCTCGATACTGTGGGCCATTTCGAATCAGTCACATGATCACACATGTCACCGCGCACCTCCTCCTTCCTGCTGACTGGTACGTCAGCCCCTCGTTCCACGTCAGCCTGCTTCGCCCTTACGTACCATCCACCAGCCAACTCCCACGACATCGACCATCCAGCATGTCACGACCACCAACCGAACCAGTCATCACCCCCGACAAAATCTTGAGCCACAGAGTTCGCGACCCTGGAGGGGCCCGAAAAGTTGAGTTTCTAATTCGCTGGAAAGATCGTACACCCACCGAGGACAATTGGGTTCCCCTGGACAGAATTGAAAACCACCCTGTCGTCACGGACTATCTACGCAGCCGAAACTTCAAAGACGTCCACGCGCTTTCGTAAGGAGGACCTTTTAGGAGGGGGGGGTAGTGTAAGGAAATTCCCTTTTCCTTACTTCGCACCTCTGCTCAACGCGTTTATCACTGTAGCACCTCAGTCAGCACCGTTACCACTCACAACCATCGCATCATTCATCATCCCGCCATTTTCGCACATCGCATCCCGACCTCACGGCTCGGCTGGTAACCCGCGCTCCGTGCCTACGCTTCGACACGTTCCCAACCTCAGTCCCAGGCTCGTCGCGCGACCATTACCGTTACCACTGTAGTTTCGCTATATATTCTTCGCTCATACCTTCGCTCATTGTACTCTTGCTTCGATAGTGCAATTCTCGCTCGTTCACTCACTTGCACTCGTAACATACTCCTGCAGCAAACTTTCTGTCTAGATTGTTCTGGTAGTCGGTTCAAAACTCATTCACTCAATAAATTGCTGGGCCTTAACTCCAGGATCCTAATGGCGTCAGAATCCAGGATTCCAGCCACACCGCCTCCAACTCAGAACCCACCTGTCGGCGCGTCTGGCTCTGAAACTCCTCCCGTCAACTCTACCCCTACCACTGGCGCATCTGCCGGCGGGGTGTCTGCCTCGCCGGCTTCCGCGGCGGGAGCGGCGGGCGAGGAGCAGATAATGGATCTGGAATCGTACGCTGCGAATTATTCCGGCCACACGCGCATCGTACGGCTGCGATTCATCGCGGAGCGGTGCGCCGCTATTGGCCAGACCGCGATGGAGCTCGAGGCGCTGCGGATGGCGGCGGATGAGTTAAAGCGCGGCGAGAACAGCGCGGCGTATAAAGAGGTCGTGGCGAAGATTGCGGGGCGCCTCGGGCCTAAGTACGAGCTGGATCAGGAGTGGGTGGATTCTGTGGAGCGACGCGCGGTGCAGAAGCAGGAGAAGCTGGAGATGGAGTTAAACGGGTACAAGGTACTGCGGTTAACGGGTACAAGGTATGGCGTAACGGGTACAAGGTATGGCGTAACGGGTACAAGGTATGGCGTTAAACGGGTACAAGACAAGGTATGGAGGGAACACCTTCAAATGAATTTAGGGATTTATTTTGTTCGCAGGGATGAGTGCAGACTAAATTCGTTCAGCATGGCATGGCATGTGTAACCAAACCTGACGTCAGGTTACACTTGGTAACAGGGAATCCTTGTAACACCTCCCCCTCATCCCCGCTACAGACGAACCTGATAAAGGAGTCGATCCGCATGGGTACAACGATCTCGGCGACTTCCTCTACTCCCGGGGCGATCTCCAACAGGCGTTCCAGTGCTACGTGCGCACGCGCGACTACTGCATCACGTCCAAGCACACCATCGCCATGTGTGCCTCTCCTCCCCTCCACCCCTCTCACACACCCCAACACCCTTCCTTCGTTCCACACACTGAAGAGCCTTCTTCCCTGTATCCCCCCTTCCCCTCCTCTTCCCTCCTCCCTTCCCTGCCCTCCTCTGCCATCATACCCGCTACAGACGAACCTGATAAAGGAGTCCATCCGCATGGGGTACAATGATTTAGGCGACTTTTTCTACTCGCGGGGGGACCTCCAACAGGCCTTCCGGTGCTATGTGCGCACGCGCGACTACTGCATCACGTCCAAGCACACCATCGCCATGTGCCTCAACGTGATCGTGGCGAGTGTGGAGCTGGGGCACTTTGTGAACGTGAGCAACTACGTGCAGAAGGCTGAGCGCGGCATGACTGACCCCATCGTGCTGGCGAAGCTCAGGAGCGCTGCTGGGCTGGCGAGCTTGGAGGGGCGGAAATACAAGGCCGCAGCCAGGAAGGTGGGTTTGTGATGGGAATGCAGGCTGAAGCAAGGCGGGTTGCAAACAGGAAGGTGGGTTGAAAACAGGAAGGCGGGGAGAGGGAAGGGGGGGCGTAGTAGAGCTGGGGCACTTTGTGAACGTGAACAACTACGTGCAGAAGGCTGAGCGCGGCATGACTGACCCCATCGTGCTGGCGAAGCTCAGGAGCGCTGCTGGGCTGGCAAGCTTGGAGGGGCGGAAATACAAGGCCGCAGCCAGGAAGGTGGGTTTGTGATGGGAATGCAGGCTGAAGCAAGGCGGGTTGCAAACAGGAAGGTGGGTTGAAAACAGGAAGGCGGGGAGAGGGAAGGGGGGGCGTAGAGCTGGGGCACTTTGTGAACGTGAGCAACTATGTGCAGAAGGCGGAGTGCAACATGACTGACCCCATCGTGCTGGCCAAGCTCAGGAGCGCTGCTGGGCTGGCGAGCTTGGAAGGGAGAAAGTACAAGGCCACTGCCAGGAAGGTGGGTTTGTGATGGGAATGCAGGCGGAAAACAGGAAGGTGGGTTGAAAACAGGAAGGTGGAGAAAGGGAAAGGGGAGAGCGCAGGAGTGCGTGGAGCTGGGGCACTTTGTGAACGTGAGCAACTACGTGCAGAAGGCTGAGCGCGGCATGACTGACCCCATCGTGCTGGCCAAGCTCAGGAGCGCTGCTGGGCTGGCGAGTTTGGAAGGGCGAAAGTACAAGGCCGCTGCCAGGAAGGTACGGTTGTGATAAGAATGCGGGGTTAGTAGTACAAAGGTGGGTTGCAAACAGAAAGGTATGCCTGTGATCGCGAACAGCAAGGCAGGTTGGTGAGTGGGTGCAAGTACAAGGCCGCTGCCAGGAAGGTATGGTTGTGATAAGAATGCGGGGTTAGTAGTACAAAGGTGGGTTGCAAACAGAAAGGTATGCCTGTGATCGCGAACAGCAAGGCAGGGTGGTGAGTGGGTGCAAGTACAAGGCCGCTGCCTGGAAGGTATGGCCGTGCTCTGGTTGACTTTTGAGGCGCCTCAAAAGCCAGGAAGGTATGGCCGTGCTCTGGTTGACTTTTGAGGCGCCTCAAAAGCCAGGAAGGTATGGCCGTGCTCTGGTTGACTTTTGAGGCGCCTCAAAAGCCAGGAAGGTATGGCCGTGCTCTGGTTGACTTTTGAGGCGCCTCAAAAGCCAGGAAGGTATGGCCGTGCTCTGGTTGACTTTTGAGGCGCCTCAAAAGCCAGGAAGGTATGGCAGTGCTCTGGTTGTGACTGCGATCAGAGAGGTAGGGTGTTGACTGGAATGGAAGCAGGTTGAAATTATCAAGGAAGGGTGGTGATTGGCGCATCTCTTTCGCCTTCACCGTTTTCCCCAAGTCGTTCCCTTTCTTGCCTCTTACCCTCGCTGCGACATGCTGTGTGCCCAGTTTGTGAGCGCCAGCTTCGACATGGGCAGCAGCTACTCGGAGGTGATAACCCTGTAATGTTTCTGATAGGTGTTCACCTTTCTCTTCCCCTTGTTTCCCTTTCCACACTGCAGTTTGTGAGTGCCAGCTTCGACATGGGCAGCAGCTACTCCGAGGTGATAACCCTCTAATGTTTCTGATAGGTGTTCACCTTTCTCTTCCCCTTGTTTCCCTTTCCACACTGCAGTTTGTGAGTGCCAGCTTCGACATGGGCAGCAGCTACTCGGAGGTGATAACCCTGTAATGTTTCTGATAGGTGTTCACCTTTCTCTTCCCCTTGTTTCCCTTTCCACACTGCAGTTTGTGAGTGCCAGCTTCGACATGGGCAGCAGCTACTCCGAGGTGATAACCCTCTAATGTTTCTGATAGGTGTTCACCTTTCTCTTCCCCTTGTTTCCCTTTCCACACTGCAGTTTGTGAGTGCCAGCTTCGACATGGGCAGCAGCTACTCCGAGGTGATAACCCTCTAATGTTTCTGATAGGTGTTCACCTTTCTCTTCCCCTTGTTTCCCTTTCCACACTGCAGTTTGTGAGTGCCAGCTTCGACATGGGCAGCAGCTACTCCGAGGTGATAACCCTCTAATGTTTCTGATAGGTGTTCACCTTTCTCTTCCCCTTGTTTCCCTTTCCACACTGCAGTTTGTGAGTGCCAGCTTCGACATGGGCAGCAGCTACTCCGAGGTGATAACCCTCTAATGTTTCTGATAGGTGTTCACCTTTCTCTTCCCCTTGTTTCCCTTTCCACACTGCAGTTTGTGAGTGCCAGCTTCGACATGGGCAGCAGCTACTCCGAGGTGATAGCACCGCAAGACGTGGCGCTGTATGGGGGGCTCTGTGCGCTCGCCTCCTTTGACCGCGCCGAACTTAAGGTGCTTATTTATTCGGAGATGTCATATACCATTGCGAGATGCACCAGTGTCTGCCAACCAAATTCATGCCAACCGAATTCATGCCAACCGCATTCATGCCAACCGCATTCATGCCAACCGCATTCATGCCTGGGGTACTCCGTTGACCTTCCACGTGGCTTAACTCCCCCTTCCCACCTCTCCCTGCCTCTCGTCCCGACCGCTGGCCCCTCCCTTGTCTGCTCCTTCTCTTCTCCCTTGTCTGCTTCTTCTCTTCTCCCTTGTCTGCTCCTTCTCTTCTCCCTTGTCTGCTCCTTCTCTTCTCCCTTGTCTGCTCCTTCTCTTCTCCCTTGTCTGCTCCTTCTCTTCTCCCTTGTCTGCTCCTTCTCTTCTCCCTTGTCTGCTCCTTCTCTTCTCCCTTGTCTGCTCCTTCTCTTCTCCCTTGTCTGCTCCTTCTCTTCTCCCTTGTCTGCTCCTTCTCTTCTCCCTTGTCTGCTCCTTCTCTTCTCCCTTGTCTGCTCCTTCTCTTCTCCCTTGTCTGCTCCTTCTCTTCTCCCTTGTCTGCTCCTTCTCTTCTCCCTTGTCTGCTCCTTCTCTTCTCCCTTGTCTGCTCCTTCTCTTCTCCCTTGTCTGCTCCTTCTCTTCTCCCTTGTCTGCTCCTTCTCTTCTCCCTTGTCTGCTCCTTCTCTTCTCCCTCACTGCGCATGTGCATGCAGAGCAAGCTGATAGACTCCATCAACTTCCGCAACTTCCTTTCGACATGCCTAGCCCCCCCCGTCTTACCCCCTCCTTCCCCCCCCGCCCCCCTCTTTCCCTCCTCTCACTGCGTATGTGCATGCAGAGCAAGCTGATAGACTTTGTCAACTTCTGCAACTTCCTTTCGACATGCCTAGCCCCCCCCCATCTTACCCACCCCCCCCCCCCCCCGCCCCACTCTTTCCGTCCTCTCACTGCGTATGTGCATGCAGAGCAAGCTGATAGACTCCGTCAACTTCCGCAACTTCCTTGAGCTAGTGCCAGAGGTCAGGGAGCTCATATATGACTTCTACGCCAGGTGAGTTCGTCCCCTGTGCCTGACCCTTCTCGTCAGAGCTCACCTTTCTCCCTGCTCGTCTCCATATTTGACTAGGGCTTTCTCGACTTCCTTGAGTTAGTGCCAGAGGTCAGGGAGCTCATATATGACTTCTACGCCAGGTGGGTGGGTGTGTGCGCCCCGTATCTTTGGTTTCAATTCTGGAGCTCTCTATTTCTTGGTTGGCTTTTCTATTTCTCTGGCCTCCTCAAGCTAGTGCCAGAGGTCAGGGAGCTCATATATGACTTCTACGCCAGGTGGGTGAAGGGCGCCTCTGCTTGCTCCCTTTTCTGGAGCTGTATATCTCGTGTTGATCTCTCACCCTTCCTCAAGGAAGGGAGCTTGTGCTGGAGATCAGGGAGCACATATATGACTTTTTAGGCGCCTCGAAGGTCAGGGAGCTCATATACGATTTATACGCCAGGTGGGTGTGGATACGACTTTTACTGGCTTTGGTCTCGCTTGGAGATCTTGATTACCACTCCCCAGTGCTGGAGCTGGGCCTGCATCTGCTCGACCACTCAGTATCCTCCTTCCCTCTCACCCTTCCCTTCTTTCAGCCGCTACGCATCGTGTCTGAAGAATCTGGACAAGCTCCGCCCAGGGCTAGAGCTGGACCTGCACCTGCATGACCACTCAGTCTCCCCCTCTTTTCACCCTTGCCTCTCAACCATTCCTTGTCTTCCCCCCAACAGCCGCTACGCATCGCGTCTGAAGAATCTGGACAAGCTCCGCCCAGTGCTAGAGCTGGACCTGCACCTGCATGACCACTCAGTCTCCTCCCTCCTCTCTCCCTTTCTGACACCCCGGTCCCCTCATTGCAGTCGATATGCATCGTGCCTCAAGTACCTGGACAAGCTGCGTCCAGTGCTGGAGCTGGACCTGCACCTGCACGACCACATAGTCTCCCCCTCCTCTCACGCTTGCCTCTCAATTACCCCTTGTTTTTTTTCCCAACCATCAGCCGCTACGCATCGTGTCTGAAATATCTGGACAAGCTGCGGCCAGTGCTGGAGTCGGATGTACATCTGCATGACCACGTGGCAGCACTCTACCAGCAGATCCGCCTGCACTTTTTGAGGCGCTTCAAAAGTCACGACCACGTGGGAGCCCTGTACCAGCAGATCCGCCAGCGCGCTCTCATTCAGTAGCCCCTGGCTTTTCTCCCCCTCTCTCCCTTTCCACCAGCCGCTACGCATCGTGCTTGAAGTACCTCGACAAGCTGCGGCCAGTGCTAGAGCTGGACCTGCATATGCATGACCACTCAGTCTCCCTCCTCCGCTCACCCTTATCTGTCAATCACCCCTTGTGTTTTTTTCCACCAGCCGCTACGCATCATGCCTCAAGTATCTGGACAAACTGCGCCCAGTGCTAGAGTTGGACCTGCATTTGCACGACCACGTGGCAGCGCTCTACCAGCAGATCCGCCAGCGCGCTCTCATTCAGTACACCACGCCCTTCATATCCGTTGATCTCCGCACGATGGCCTCTGCGTTCAACACGAATGTGGCGGCGCTGGAGAAGGAACTTGCTGCGCTTATAATGGATAACCAAGTGCAGGTGAGTCGGTGTAGGTGTGTCTTGTCCAATGCAGCATTCAGTACGCCACGCCCTTCATATCTGTTGATCTCCGCACGATGGCCTCATCATTTAACACGAATGTGGCGGCTCTCGAGAAGGAGCTTGCAGCACTTGTCATGGATAACCAAGTGCAGGTGAGTGGATGGATGTGCATTGGAGGTGGCTCATAGAAGCTGATTTGCGTGCCACGCCGCTATGTATGATATTTTCTTTGGCTGTATGTATTTACTGGTGCTGTTCTTTTCGTTTCTGCTTACATTTCCTCGTTGTTTCCACGCCAGGCACGCATCGACTCACACAAAGGCATTCTATACGCTCGTCATGCTGATCAGCGCAATGCAACGTTTCAACGAGCACTTGCAGCTGGCAATGACTTCCAACGAGACACGCGCGCACTTCTGATACGGGCGAGCTTGTTGAGAGCTGAAATGGGCACTAGGCCGCAGCGTCTTACCGGTATCTAACTAATCAAATCAAGAGTTATGGAGAATCGTCTGCGTATGGAATAGATCTCTCAAGCTTGTATCCATCTTGTAGAGTTTTGTTTTGTATTGTTTTATCACGTTGCTGAGACGGGCCAGTATGGAGCTTCTCAAATCCCCGCCCAGTTTGATGGATGTGTCGGCCCGCACATCTGTGCGACATGCACCCTGCGCTTCGAATGCAAGGGGTTCAGGTGACATTTCGCTTCAACGGCCCCGATTCGGTGAATTTGAATCACTCACAAAGCCAGTTGGCCTGGTCCTCCTCCGTTTGTGTCCCCTTTGGGCCTTCGTTGATGTCACACATTCACGACATCCTGGTCCTAGTTTTGGCACCTCGGCTCTAGTGGTAACTCACGTGTAGAAATCATCAGTTGGTATCGCAGCACTTCGCACAGTCAAGGGACGGCAACCGTTGATTGTAGGTTGTTGAAGCCTTGCGTATCATTTCCAAAGCACGTCACATACCTCGGTTTCGCTGGGTGCTTTGCGGTCTGGACTGATAAGAAGTTGTGTCCAGCCTATACCGTCTGCGAACTTAATGAACCGCACTGAACCTGGGTATCCAATCGCATGAAACATCCTTCCTGTGACAGAGCATCCATACATACGCGGCACCTGTTTTCATTTAGGCAGGATCGATCGTTGTAGGGGATCGATGTGCCGCTTATACAGTGTATTTGCGACATCGCTAGTGCGTGGTATCCGTTTTTCGCGGGAGCTCGAAAGTGTACAGTAAATTGGCACCTGCAGCTCGCACGACCGATGTGCCATGTTGCACACATCGATAGTGCGTTTTGGTTGGTGTGAGAGCACATCGCACCACAGGTGACAGCCGCGATCGATCGACGTCGCCCACGGTCGCAGGCCAACCTTTTTCAAGTCGCTGCGAATGAAATTCCTGGGCGACCATCCAATATTTGTCCTGATTGGCTGCGAAAATATTCCGACGTGGATCCAGCCTTCCCGACCCTGCAATTTCGACCCTGGCACCTATAGCTCGATGTGTCAACCTCACAGCAAATTTGCAGTGTGGGCACATCGGTGTGCCAGGATCGATGTGAGGCCACGATCTCCCTCGATCCTTGAAAAATGCAAACAGGTGCCGCGTCCTGACCTTGATTCTAGTTTCCAGTGATTTCAATCTGGGTGAAAAAAATTAGTTGCACAGGAGTTTCCAAGGTCGCTGATCTGCTTGCTTCATCGCTGAAGAGAAATACCATTCCCTGGCGTCGAAGCTCCTGCTGCTAAAATCCGTTGACGCGAGACAGCGGAGGGAAGAAACGAAGAAGTCATCTGATCGAGTTGAGACGGGCATAACTTAGCTCCGCAAGAACTGGACTTTTCAAGCAACCTTTTTTTTTTTTTTTCCGAACCTGCATTAAGGAGAGTCTGACGAGCAGGGAGCACAGCCATGTCGAATATCGGGACGATCGGGGCCCTGACCCTGTCAGTTGTCTCATCAGTGTCGATCGTTATCTGCAATAAAGCGCTGCTTTCCCAGTTTCATTTCAACTTCGGTAAGCCTGGATAAGTCTCATCGGTTTCTTTTCCCCCTCTTCGCTGCTCTCTTCTTCTAACGCATCTTACTCGCATTCTCCTCATCGGTATCGCCCGTATTCGGCGTCACTCAACCGTAAGCTGCGAAAAGTCATACCTAATCTCGTTTTCCTGCTCTTCATTGTTTCCATGCACTAATCCTCTTCGCGACCGATCAGCGACGACGCTATCCAGCTGGCATCTGGTGATCACATTCCTATCGCTGCACGTCGCGCGGACGATCGGGTTCTTCGAGCATAAGGCGTTCGACCCTAAGGTCGTCATCGGGTTCGGCTTGCTCAATGGCGCGTCCATTGGCCTCCTGAACCTAACACTAGGGTTCAATTCCGTTGGATTTTACCAGGTAACGTCTTTCTTCCTTCCGTGATCATATCGAAGGGCTTGTCGTATTCGGCATTGCTAAGTGCCTGACCATTTTGCGTGCTTCGATCCAATTCCGCGGGCTTCTAACCAGGTAACGTCTTTCCCTCAGTGATGATCTATAAGGGGCTTCATTTTTTACTGATTCTACCGCATAGATTATTACCTCGCATATATTTTCTTACAGTCCACTTCCCCCAGTAAACCTTCACCTCGCTTCTCATTTGCAATCACACACGCTCACAGTCGAATACATGCGTATGAACAAGCAAATTATCGGCTTTCTCAAAAGTGGGGGGAAACAAAGTGTTACAGCGAGAAATCCTCTGCCGAGTATAATCATGAATGTCTTCCGGTTTTGCTATACGACTTTCCCCCGATAAAAGCATTTCACACTTAGCACTCGCTTAGTCATCCAGGCACCACGTCATCGCCTGACATATTGACGTGTCTGTTTCGGTTTCGGTGCGTTGCCGTTACCGTTCCCATTGCTCCCATTGCAGATGGCCAAGCTCGCCATCATCCCGTGCACGGTCTGTCTGCAAATCCTCTTCCTGAAGATGAGATTCAGGTGCGTGGGTGCGTCATACATCATCCGAATTCCGTGTTCCGAAATTTTATTGCTCTCGCGTTACATGTTCAGGGCACCGCTGCGATGCAAGCCTCTGCGCGTCGTGCAAGCCTCATGTCACCTGAGCCCCCTAGAATATAGCTGTCCGTCCCCCCGCCCACCACCCCTCCGTGCCCGTCTTCCCCCGTTTGTGATTCAGGCTTCAGGTGCATTCGTCCCTTCCGATGCTCCTGCCCTGGGCTTAAGCCTATCTCAGGCCCACCACCACTCCTCCCTCCCCCCCCCACACACACCCCCCTTTCTCCCTTTGTGAGTCAGCTTGCAGGTGCAGGCGCCCCTAGTGGTGCTACTGCTGGGCGTGGGCATCAGGCAACTCATACATAAGCTTTCCACCACCCCTTCCCCCCCTGCCGTTGTCATTCAGTCTGCAGGTGCAGGCGTCCCTACTGGTGCTGCTGCTGGGCGTGGGCATCGCCACAGTCACGGACTTGGAGCTCAATTTCGTTGGCACGGTCCTGGCTGCTCTTGCCATTGTCAGCACCTGCGTTGCTCAAATCGTAAGTGGTGTGGTAATGCCATTAGTTGACGACGCTGCTGGGTGTGGGCATCGCCACAGTCACGGACTTAGGGCTCAATTTCGTTGGCACAGTCCTGGCTGCTCTTGCCATTGTCAGCACCTGCGTTGCTCAAATCGTAAGTGGAAGGTTTTTTCGTTAACTCAAGGAGCTGCTAGCCTGCTGCTGCTGGGGGTGGGCATCGCCACAGTCACAGACGCTTAAGGGTTTAGGGCACAGTCCTGGCCGCTCTTGCCATCGTCAGCACTTGCGTTGCTTAGATTGTGAGTATCAGCACCACTTGCTGGCTCCACCTTCTTGATTTGGTTGACACACTTTGGGTTGTATTTCTTATTCAAGTCCCTTTCCCCTTCCCTTCCGCTTCTTCTTTATTCTTCTCCTCTTCCCCTTCCTCGTCCCAATCCCCACCCTTCCCCTTCACCTTCCCGTCCCTGTCCCTGTCTCCATCCCGTTCCCGTTTCCCTTTCCCCCTCCTCGTCCCCAGATGACCAACACGATTCAGAAGGGGTACAAGGTGAGCAGCACGCAGCTGCTGTACCAGTCGTCGCCCTTCCAGGCGCTCATTCTCATCCTCTCGGGGCCCTTCGTGGACGCCTACCTCACGGGCCACAACGTCTTTGCCTTCGACTACACCTTCAACGTCATTGTGAGTGCTGTGCTCGTGTAGCACAAGGCGTGCTACGAGCTCTACAACCTGATTGAGGTTTGTGAGTGTGCTGGTGAGTGCTGTGGGCCCTTGGTGGACGCCTACCTCACGGGTCACAACGTCTTTGCCTTCGACTACACCTTCAACGTCATCGTGGGTGCATCCACTTTACTGCTTTTTACAGGTTTGACCTCTCTGAGTGGAGTACTCTTTGGCCGCTGCTGGTGGGTGGATTACACCAGAGTGCTGGGAGTGGGTGGAGTGAGCGTTCTGGTAAGCGGGTTGAGCCGTCCAGAACCCCTTTGTCGGTGCCTGCCTCACAGCCCACAACGTCTTTGGCTCCATCCTAATGTCATGCGCCATCGCTGTTGAGTCAACCCTCTACTTCCTCCCATTCCTGCCCCCCCCCCCCCCCCCCCCCCCCCCCAACCCCCTTTATCCCCCTCTGCAATCAGTCTTTCATCCTGCTCTCCTGATTCATCACAGTGACGTTAAACTTTGGCTCCTTTTTGGACCTACTTGCCTTGCCATTTCCCCCACTTTCCGTTTTCAAGCTCTCACCCCTTTTTCCTCCCATTCCTGCCCCCCGCACCCCTCCATCCCCCACTACCACTAGTCGTTCATCTTGCTGTCATGCTTCATCGCCGTGGCTGTCAACTTCAGCTCCTTCCTTGTCATCGGCAAGACGTCGCCAGTCACCTACCAGGTGGGTGGGCTCTAAGTGGACTTTTTTTTAGCTGCCGCCAAAACCCCCTCGTTACACCAAGTAGGTGGGCTGTGAGTAATTGCGCGGTTTACTTCCAAAGTGCACACTTCTCTTTGAGTCGCACTCACATCATATGGTGCATGAAAGCCAACTCTCCTCACAAACTCCCACACACACACTTGTCCCCCCCCAGGTGCTAGGCCACCTCAAGACATGTCTGGTGCTGGGTATGGGCTACCTCTTGCTCAACAACCCCTTCAGCTGGCGCAATGCGGGTGGCATTCTGGTTGCGCTGGTCGGCATGGTTCTCTACTCCTACGTGCAGATCCAAGAGGCCAAGTCCAGAGACGCTCAGGTGCGCTCCCAGGTGTTTCAGGTGGTTTTAGTGCCTGTATGCCAGGTTTGGTTATTTCTGATTGGGTTGTTTACGAGGCTTCGCATCTGTGTTCTACAAATAGGGCCATCCTAGCTATTGTTATTCAGTAAAGTTGGAGGTATTTGTTTTCCCCTTCAATCCTGAACCTCACGTTTCTTGCCTCATTTCTTTGGCCTGTTTTCTTTGCTCCGAACGTAGATTTCAGCTCCTCCCTCGGGTGGCTTAAGTTTTGAGAAGGCCAATGACAGTGACCGTGAAACTGTGAGTTAAAGCGTCCTCCTTTAGATGAGTATACTTCTCCGCTACGTAGCTGCTTAGCTGTCCTGTGACATTGCACCGTTTCCCTTCAACTCCCTCCATATTTATTTGTTTTTATCTTCACCTTCTGCAGGACAACACTCGCTCCGAGAATGACCCCCTTCTTATGGCTGAGATGGGAAGGTCAAGGGGATGAAGTGGTACTGAAGGTAATGGAACCTGGGAGATACTTGAAACTCTCAGGAGCTCTTGAAATTACGTCAAGTAGTTTGGCCTTGCTAGTAAGGTGTAGCTGACAAGGGCCATTTGTTTTTGTCTGTTAGCCATAAAATGCTTGTAAGAATAAATCAAGTCACAGCATCACTTTCACCAGATTAATCCATAACTCTTTCGATTGCATTTACCATTTTGCCACGGCTCCTCAAACGAAGGAGGCGATGTAGAGCAAACTGAAGCGCTTCGGCTTCGGATGCATCTGTGGCGGGAAAACATTTCGAGGTGCAAGAAAATGTTCTCCAGAAAGCTTCTGTGAAGGAGGGCGGTCTGCTGGTTGCTGAACTGCAGTCAGTCAAGCCTTCCGATTGGTTCGCGACATAAAATGGCGACTTGGTTTGGGACTGCTCGTGTTCCCCTCGGTCACGGGATGCGGTGGGCTATGTCGTAGTCGCGTGGCGTGACTTTTTGTGATGCGACTGAGGGTACATTGTGGTTGATTAGGAAGAAAGAACGGTGCAGGGTCAGCGCGCGTTCATCTGTGCATCATGGCGAGTCGAGCCGAGTCGCTGAATCAACGTCATCGGACACGCCTTGGGCTTGGTTGGAACTTGAAATTTGGCAACCTTGGTTTGGCTGGGTTTGGCTTGGTTTGGTGGTTTATGTCGGCCTCGGGATTACCGCCCACCAAGCTTCTTCCCTCTCAGCTTCTCAACTCCTTTTCCATAGCAAATAATGCACAGACGAATCCTAGAAAAATCTTGAAGTGCCTGAGGTATTCGGATCAACCTGCGAAGGAACTGGTGCACAAAGGCTTCGAAAGATTTGGACTGGAACGCGGCATTCTGTGCTGTGCTCTCCTTACGCCGAGACGCAAATATTAGAATACGTCGTTGTTGAGGAAGAAATAAATAGCAGCAGCGCACAAGTGATTGTGGAACAGGAAAACGGTAGTCGCTGGATTCCAGTTCAACAAGTAACGACCGAAGACCTGTCTCGTACCGAGCGCGTGCTCTTAGCATCATTAGCCTGTAAAGTTCAAAAGTAGAATGGTGGTGGCGACGACAAGAGCAGCCATGATGGAGAGCTCGATATCTTTAAAAGACGCGCCAGAAATGGACTACAAAGAGGCGTTTCTAGACGTCATGTGAGTACCCATAACACATTCCGAGACGGGCTCGTTCTTCGTGTGACCGTACTCTCCGGCGTCAGGAATTTACTGAGAGGATGGACGTCAAAAGTGCGCTCTGCACCGATAGTTTCTTCCGGATTCATGCAGGTCAAGGAGCAGCAACCTTCACAGCCTTCTCTCGTTGCTCCATGTCGCTGGGATTATATCGTTATCCCTCCTGGCGTCAAGATAGCTGCTAGCAATACCGCTTACTCTCGTTCAGGCTGGATTTCTTTGTCGTTCGGACTTCTCATCACACAACCGCCCGTATCCGGACTGTCGAAGTCCGTGGTCGTCTACGCACCCACCCCACCGTTTATTTTCTAAAGTATTATTGATTCGCCTCAATCCCTGCCGATGTCTTCGTTCGGACCAGGCTGGTTCCTGGCGGTACTCTCGAGGCGGTGCAGGAGCTCTACGACATCTGCCACGTGGAGGCATTCGTCGCAGCGATGCTGGACATTCGTGCGACCGCCGTCGCCAGGCGACGACTACTTGGCGTCGTCGGCCCCGGTACCACCAAGGCGGAGCAGTACACGGTTCGAGACATGTTCTCATTTCAACAGGTACGCTTATATGCTATTCTCGAAGCCATGCCTCATGATTATCACTATGGCGGAGCAGTACTAGTCGGGTCCGATACATGTTCTCGTTTCAGCAGGTGCGAGTTCATGCATTTACCGTTTCATGCATTTCAGCGAGATGCTCATCTGAGCTGACGAAGTCCCGATGTTGGTCCTGATTCAGCGATTTCCTGGTCCTGCTGCTTTTTCAGTCAATCTTGCCCATGATTCCCGCCCCCCTACTTCCCGTGGGCCCCACTGGACCCCCTCCCCCCGCCCCTATCTCCCATGCGGGTACTCCCCCCATCCCCTCTAACGCCACCCTCCCCACCCTCACCACCCCACCATGGCCACCATCCACCCTCCCCTCCAAGGACGCGATCCCAACAGCCATGCTGCGGCTGAGCGGCGTCTTGCACGAGCCCGCGACGCGGCTGTTCAACGACGAGTTGCGATTTATGGGCGTGCACGAGGGAAAGATGCTCTCGCGCGCGTAGGATGTTCTTGGTGCTGCTGTCTTGCCTGTCAATCCTCCCACAAGTCCCGTCCCCTCCTCCCCACTCCTTCGCCGGCCCACCATTCTCTCTCCCTCCCACTCCCCTCCTCCCCCCCACACACAGGACGCGATCCCAACAGCCATGCTGCGAATAAGCGGCGTCCTGCACGAGCCCGCGACGCGCCTATTCAACGACGTGTTGCGATTCATGGGCGTGCACGAGGGCAAGATGCTCTCCCGCGCGGAAGAGGTCGCGCTGGTGGCGCGCGTGTTTTTGGACCTGGGGAAGGAGCCGCCGCTGCGAGATGAGCTGTTTCTGCAGCTGTGGAAGCAGACGCGGGGGAACGAGTACAAGTGAGTGAATGAGTGTGGGTGGGTGGTGGCTGGTGGGTGGGCGGGGGGTCGTGGCCAGGGGGTCGTGGTGGCTCACAGAAAAGCTGCTCTTGATTCAGTTCAGGAGTTTGCTAGTGGTGCGGGTAACGCGCTGGAGGTGGCGCGTGTGTTTCTGGACCTGGGGCTGCGAGATGAGCTGTTGGTGCAGCTGTGGAAGCAGACGAGATGGAACGGAACGCCCGCAGTGAGTGGGTGGTGGGTCGCAGAAGCGCACAGAAAGGTGTCTTATGAGTAGTGGAGGAGGCGTGTTTCCCCCCACCACCACGTCCCAGGGCCACTCTCTGACTACTTCTCCTCGCTCGTCTCGGACGAGGCGGTAGTTGCTTGCAGGGAGCTGGAGGTGACTCTAGGGAAAGGCTTTCAGCATCACCTCAACCCTCGTCATCCACTTCCCCTTCCTTCCCCTCCCTTCCCCTCCTTTCCCCCCAGAGCCTCATGCTTGAAGGTGTGGGAGCTGATGCGACTGTGTGCGGGCGTGTTCCCCCCCACCCCACCACCACCATCGCGGGGCCTCTCTCTGAGTGCTCCTCTTCGCTCGTCTCCGACGAGGCGGTTGCGCATGGAGCGCTGCATGGAGCGCTGCTGGCGTCGTGCCTCAAGGCGTGCATGGAGTGCTGCTGCCTCTCGTGATTCTTTTCTCTAGTGGCTGTTTAAGCTGACGTACCTGAACCGTCGTCATCCTTCGCCTCCTTGCCTTCCCCTGCTCTCTCCATCCCCCCTCTTCTTCCCCACTCTCGTCCTCCCCCCAGGGCGTCCTGCCTGAAGGTGTGGGAGCTGATGCGGCTGTGTGCGGGCGTGTTTCCCCCCACCACCACCGTCGCGGGGCCACTCTCCGAGTACTTCTCCTCGCTCGTCTCCGACGAGGCGGGGGACGAGGCCATTCGAGAGGCGGTGCTGGCTGCGTGGAAGGCGCTGGATCATGGATTGAAGCACGGTCCTAGAAGATGCGTGCCGGGGCAAGATGAGGTGAGGGATGAGGAGAAGGTGGGGTGGTGAGATTGCGTGGGTAGGTCCTGTTGTAGCGGACGAGGTGGGGGATGTGGGTGTTCGAGAGGCGGTGCTGGCAGCGTGGAAGGCGCAGGACCACGGGCTTAAGCACGTGCCGAGGAGATGCGTGCCGGGGCAGGACGAGGTGAGTTTGGGGGGTGATGATGAGAACGGGTGGATATGCCTCGTGGCGGACGAGGCGGGGGACGAGGCTATCCGAGAGGCGGTGCTGGCGGCTTGGAAAGCGCTGGACCACGGGCTGAAGCACGGGCCTAGAAGATGCGTGCCGGGGCAAGATGAGGTGAGCGCAGGAGCCAAGACAGGATGAGGTTGTGAGATTGCGTGGGTAGGGCCTGTTGTAGCGGACGGGGCGGGGGACGAGGCTGTCCGAGAGGCAGTGCTAGCAGCATGGAAGGCGCTGGACCACGGGCTGAAGCACGGGCCTAGAAGATGCGCGCCGGGGCAAGATGAGGTGGGTACGGTTGATATGCATCGAAGCCTGGTACTTTCAGCTACTCCTTGGCACTCCGTGCTTGCGGCGTGGAAGGCGCTGAACCATGGGCTGAAGCACGGGCCCGGGAGATTCAAGCCGGGGCAAGATGAGGTGAGAGCAGAGGGCAGGACGAGATGAGGTGAGTGGAGGGGTGATGATTACGGGTAGATATGGCTCAAGGCGGACAAGAGGGGAGACGAGGCTGTCCGAGAAGCAGTCCTGGAAGCGTGGAAGGCGCTGGACCATGGGCTGAAGCACGGGCCGAGGAGATGCGTGCCGGGGCAAGATGAGTGAGAATGTTGGACGGGAGAGGACGAGGAGAGATGAGTGGCGGAGCAGGACGAGTGGAGTTAGTTGAGAAGGTGGAAGCTGGTACGCATCACACGGTTGGTCAGACCTTCCTTGGCACTGCTTGGCACTCCTTGGTACTCCTTGGCAATCCTTGTCATTGGCACTCCTACAACTCTCTGTAACACTTGTGCTGATCCCCTTCTCCCTAATCCTCCCGTCCGGGTCCCCGCCCCTCCCCATGTGTCCCTGTCAGGTGCTCTCGTTGCTGACGCACACACCCCTGTCAGTGCCAGTGTATCTGTGCGACGACACCCTTGAAAACATCCCTAGCAGCGCCGTGACCACCATTGGCGAGGCCATGCAGGTGAGCAAATTCGGGGTGTCCGTTGTGTTCCCTGAACAATACAGCAGCAGTGGCACACACCCCTGTCAGTGCCGGTGTATCTGTGTGACGACACCCTGGAGAACATTCCCAGCAGCGCGGTTACCACCATTGGCGAGGCCATGCAGGTGAGGGATTGCTAGTGATGAGGAAAGGATATGGCACTTTTGAGCAATGGAGTTTAGGAGATGATCTAGCTGCTGCTGCAGATGCTGCAAGTGACAGTACCTGTTCACCTTTCCACACCTCCTTCGCCCTGTTCACCTTTCCATTCCTCTAATGTACTGCCCATCCCTCTGATACCCGTCCCTTTGTGTCTCGTCCTTCGTCCCATCTCTGTCCATATCCAGTTGCTGCTGCAGAGGCTACAAGTCAGAGGCTACACCACCTCCTTCGCCCTCTTCACCTGTCCATCCTTCTAATGCCCCTATCCAACCGTCCCATCCCTGTTTCCATTCCTGGATTTCCCTACAATATTCAGTTGCTGCTGCAGAGGCTACATGTGACAGACACCACCTCCTTCGCCCTCTTCACATGCCGAATTTACAAATCCATGGGGGCAACTCACAGCGACCCCACCATTGGTCAGTTTGACTCCCTTGCCATGCCATCCCATGCCATGCCATCCATGCCATGCCATGCCATGCCATCCACGCCATGCCATGCCATGCCATCCCATCCTCATCCCTTCGCCCTGTTCACATGTCGGATTTACAAATCCATGGGGGCAACCCACAGCGACCCCACCATTGGTCAGTGTGCTGCTGCTGATCTGATCTGAGATATAGTATTTCTGTTGCTGCTGGGTCCGATAACTCTCCGTACTGCACCAGACCACGTACCCTGAGGCGTATGTAACGGATGTGATGGCGGAGTATGTGAAGGCAGCGCGCTGCTGCCTGGTGGCGGCATGTACACTGCTGCACTCCCACATGATCTCCCACCCTGTCCCCCCACACCCACCAGACCACGTGCCTCTGGACCCCGAGGCGTATGTCTCGGATGTGATGGCGGAGTATGTGAAGGCAGCGCGCTGCTGCCTGGTGGCATGCACACTGCTTGTAGTGAGTCGAGTTTTGAGTCGACTCGAAACTCGACTCACTACACACGTATGTGAAGGCAGCGCGCTGTTACCTGGTGGCATGTACACTGCTGCACTCCCACCTTGCCCTCACGCCCTCCCATCCCATCCCTCCCTTCTCCCCAACGTCAGACCACGAGTCTCTGGACCCCGAGGCGTATGTCTCTGATGTGATGGCAGGGCATGTGAAGGCGGCACGCGGCAGCCTGGTGGCATGCAAGCTGCTGCGCGCCATTCCCTTACACTCTCCCACCCCGTCCCGCCCATCACACCACACCACCCACCACACCACGTCCCTCTAGACCCAGAGGCCTATGTGTCAGACGTGATGGCGGAGTATGTGAAGGTGGCACGCGGCAGCCTGGTGGCATGTACGCTGCTACACTCCCACCATGCCCTCGTGCTCTCCCATGCAATCCTCCCAACCTACCCATCAGACCACGTCCCTCTGGACCCAGAGGCCTATGTGTTCGTGATGGCGGAGTATGTGAAGGTGGCACGCGGCAGCCTGGTGGCATGCAAGCTGCCGCACTCCCACCAGCCCTCACCCTCTCCCACCCCATTCATTTCTTCCCCCACCCACCAGACCATGTGCCGTTAGACCCGGAAGCCTACGTATCCGATGTGATGGCGGAGTATGTGAGAGCAGTATTGCCATGCACACACATAATACTCCCATGTTCTTGCACCCATCTTCCCCACCCCGTGCATCAGACCACGTGCCTCTGGACCCAGAAGCGTACGTATCAGACGTGATGGCGGAGTATGTGAAAGCAGCGCGTGGCAGCCTGGTGGCATGCAAGCTGCTGCTGAAGAAGCGGTTCTTCAAGACAGACGATGCTCTCGTTGCTGACCTGCAGCACGTGCGCCTCTGCTATGCGCAGGTGGGTGTGGAGGTGGGCTTTTGGGTGCGTACGGGAACATGGGTCGAGTCAGTCGCAGGGGGGAAGGGGCGTCAAGAGTGGCAGCAGATGCACTCTAGGGTGCGCTAGTGAATGAGTGGGGTTGGTGAGTGGTTGGCATGCGGCAGCCTGGTGGCATGCAAGCTGCTGCTGAAGAAGCGGTTCTTCAAGACGGACGATGCTCTTGTGGCTGACCTGCAGCACGTGCGCCTCTGCTACGCGCAGGTGGGTTGTGCGTTGGGATGCTTTTTGCTCTTATGAGAATTCTCAAGAGCATGGCACCAGTTGCAGTCTGGCTGCATGTGGTGGTGAGTAAGGTTGGCTCGCTGGTTGCATGCGAGTGTAGGGTGGGGTGAAGGGTGAGTGGAGTGGGAGGTGGCACGGGGCAGCCTGGTCGCGTGCAAGCTGCTGCTGAAGAAGCGATTCTTCAAGACGGACGATGCACTCGTTGCTGACCTGCAGCACGTGCGCCTCTGCTACGCTCAGGTGGGCAGTGGGGTTGGGGTCCTGAGCTATGCACTGCACAGGTGGGTGATAGAATCGTAACATGTGACCGTGCTACGCGCTGGTATGCATTTCAGCTGGTATGCACACGGGGAGCAAAGCTCCATCACCCACGCGCCCCATATCGTCCATGTGTCCCTTCGTTCTGTGCTGGTCCCATCATCATACATGGACATTAATCCGCCGCCTCCTCCTCCTATGCTTTCCAACTCCCCATTTCCAACAGCTCCGGTACGACTATCTCACAAACCACTATCTGGTGACAGTGGAGGGAGCAGTGGTGCTGGCAGCTCAAAGGGTGGTGCCTGTCTGCCTCTTCCCCCCCTCTTCCCCACTCACCACTCCCACCCTTCCCACCCTCCCACTCCCCCATTCCCAACAGCTCCGGTACGACTATTTCACGAACCCCTACCTGGTGACAGTGGAGGGAGCAGTGGTGCTGGCAGTGGCAGCTCTGAATGGTGCTGCCTGTCTGCCTCCTCACCACCCCAACCCCATCACCCCTTCCATCCTCACGTCCCTAACAGCTCCGGTACGACTATCTCACGAACCACTATCTGGTGACAGTGGAGGGAGCAGTGGTGCTGGCAGCGCTGCAAATAGCCGGGGAGATTGGGGTCATTGCCAACCCTGAAACGGCCCTGTAAGCTTTTGCCAACCCAAACCCATAAGACCAACTCGTACTCCCATGTGCCTTGTAAGGACAGTCCAATAGTATCTGTTTTTTTCGCGTGAAGCAGTATCTGGTATTACCAGTGTTCATCTTCGTCCTCGTAGGCCTTCCACTTCTGTGTGCCTTTCTCCCAGTGTTTTCTCCGCACAAGCCTTCATTTCTTGTATGTGCGTGTGATCCTCCTCCTCGCATGTCCTTCAACTTCCTCCTGGTCGCTGTGTGCACGGCAGAACCCTACAGAACCCTCCCATATTCTGCTCATTGTGCGCCTTTGTTCCTTTGCATGCGCGCCCATATATGGCAGGGAGTGGAGCATACAGATGAAGAGGTCTATCCCAAAGATAGTGTCTCGCCTGCACTCCAAGGACGAGTGGATGAACCTCATCCTCGAACCCTACAGAACCCTGGTAAAATACAGAGTATGCATGAAGGGTATAGATACATCAGATACAGAGGAAAAGAGGCAGAGTATGCATGAAGGGTATAGATACATCAGATACAGAGGAAAAGAGGCAGAGTATGCATGAAGACATCCTTGCAGTGTCCCTTTCCTCTTTCCAACATTGATGTCTTCTTGCATACTCTGCCTCTTTTCTAACTTCAGATGCATGTTCGCTTTACATCACGTACAGAATTCTTTTGAGTCAACTGAGTCAACTCAAGAGGCACCCTGTTGTTCCCAAATGCACGTGCTTCCCATGCCTGTGCAGTGGTCCCTGGACCACGAGGCCACGAGGCGGGACTTCATCCGAATCCTTCTGGAGATCACTCAAGGCAGCTCAAAGTATACTCAAATATTGTCCCCTCATGCACGTGCTTCCCAAGCCTGTGCAGTGGTCCCTGGACCACGAGGCCACGATTCGGGACTTCGTCCGAATCCTTCTGGAGATCACTCAAGGCGGCTCAAAGTATACTCAAATAGTGTCCCCTCATGCACGTGCTTCCCATGCCTGTGCAGTGGTCATTAGACCACGAGGCCACGATGAGGGAGTTCGTCCGGATCCTGCTGGAGATCCCACAGGGCGGGTCCGTCTTCTTTGACCTGCGCACAGAGGAGGACACAGCCAACTACTTCCCCAAGCATGTCATTGTGGGAGTCAACCACAATGGGGTGAGCTCAGTTGCCTTTGAGGATACTGACAAAATCCCGCAAGGGGGGCCCAGTCTTCTTAGGACTTTCCCAGGCAGGTCGTTGTCTGGGTCAAGCACAACGGGGTGAGCTGTCTTCCATGTCACCATGGAGCTGTGTTACTCTTTCATGTTGTTGCAAGCTTTCCTTCATGTGTACATGTTGAGATGGCCATCAAATGAAGTGAATGCTTTCAACTCGTATTGACAAATTTCCTCTGTGCATCTGACACCTCCATTTGTGTTTTCCTTGCGCTTGATTGGACTGGCTGGCAGCTACATTTCCTGGATGCAGAGATTCGGTCGGTCATCCACCAAGCAGAGTTGAGGGAGCTTGCAGAGTATGCAGGGCAGCCTGTTCGAATATTCTTCAGCATGACTCTACAAGACGAGCTACACTCGTTCGAGTTTGCTACTACCGGGGTAAGAACCGTCTCATGGTTTATACCGCGTGTAGTTTCGTTATGTTGTGCAAACTTGTTTTGCTAATGTTTTGGTGCACTTGTCTTGCAGGGGGACGAGATATGCTTCTTGCTTGATATTCACATAGCAAATGCATTGAGAGCATCTCAAGTTGTTGAATGATGGACTCAATGGACATACCTATATATATTGCAATATAGGTTGACGGTATTTTGTTCAAAATATATGGAGCATTGAAAGTGAGCAGACATAATCCATACAAGCACCCAGGCCAGATGCACTTAAGCTCAAACCATATTGGACTGTTGTTGCCCTAACCTGTGAACAGAAGTTCAGGTGGTCCTAAGAGGGTGCCCTGCCCATGTACACCTCAAAGCTGTCACTGCGTGGAGTGCAATAACGGATCGCTGAACGAGCATTTCGGCCCTACACGCGGAGTCTGCAGTGGTGCAATTTCGCCGCGTGAAAAGTACGAACAGTTTCAGGTAGGTGCAACAAGACAAATCACTGCCTCAACTCTTGCGTCGTTTTCTCAATCATATCCGTTATAGTTATGCTTCGCTATCGTACCGACAGGCTTCGATGTGTACTATTGGCTGCTTCGCCTCCAGTGGGCCACTAACCCTAAGGGCCAACTCCCCGATTGTCACGACAACGACTGGCATGGCAACACGGTCTCGGTCTTCCTTCCGTCGCAACCAGAATTTCGCGAACGGCTCGCAGAGCTCAACCAGTGCAAGAAAGAACATTCACGACCGTCGCGAGAAACCATTTGTGTCGCGTAAGTGTGGAACGGACACTTTCGTGAAGTCCTTGGAAATAGTTGAGAGAGCAGCACTGGGATTGTTTTTCTCGATATTACCGTACTGACCGAGCACTAAGAACGTACAGACCACCTACCATCGCAGGCAGTCACTCCAACAGAGTGACCACTTGAAGAATTCCGTCCTAACAGCAAACCCATCATAGACCGAGAAGCTTTTAGGGTTGTCTATGATACGGCATAGCTCGGGGCTGGAATCTGATAGTAGTCGCGAGAAGCAATACGTTTTCCCAGGCAAAAGACCGGGGCCGACGAGTTTGCTTCAGGGGACCTTCATTTGCTTCCAGACTATTTATTGTGAAACTATCGCAACTATTTATGATCTTCTGGAGTAGGATAACCGCCATCTCCCACATTGTTGCTACCGCTGCTTCAATGTTGTGACCTCATGACTAGCCTTCACGTAGCTTCGGCCGCCTCGTTGAGGCGAGCGACAATGGCAACGAGACGGTTATCTTGCTTACTAGCCATCCTAGTCTTCACCAGCATCTCCAGAAGTGCGTATTCTCGCTCACGCTCTCGTTGTATAAGTGACACTTCCTAGAGCGATTGTTTACGATGTTACCCCACCCCATGCTTGCAATGCTTCCTAACGCCACGCGTACGATGGTACACGAAGCGAAAATGCTCTGACGTACTTTTTAGAAGATAATGCCATCGTGCCTCCTGAATGAACCTTAGCTCTGTTCGCTCCACCAACCGCACTAGTTCCCTGTCGTGACGTCTCGTGTCGCAGTTCGCTTTGAGTTGACTTGGGAGCTAAGGTTGGTCCAAACGCGTGCTCCGAAGTCAACTTCTGAGTTGACTCAAAAGGAACCTTCGCTCGGTTCTATCTTCTAGTTCACTCTTGTTACGGCTCGTACTGCACGTCATTCGCGAAAAACTTGCTTTTGAGTCGACTAAAAACAAGGTGACTTTCGGCTCGGCTAAAAAGGAACCTCGGCTCTATCCGCTCCGCTGCCTCGCTAGTTTACTCCCTCAGCTAGTCATTGTCGCTAAGTAGTTGCTCTTGACTCGACTCAAAACGAGGTGACTTCTAAGTCGACTTAAAGGGAACCTTAGCTTCGTTCGCATCCCTAGCACGAGTTTGTTCGCTCCGCTACCGCACCAGCTTCCTCCTCTCGTTACGGCTCGTTCTGCAAATCATTCCGCGAAGCAGTTGCTCTCGAAGCCCTACTGTTGCTGTTTCGTGCTGTTGAATTCCCTAGGTTCGGTGTGCTGGAAATGGTCAGTTAGGTGACGTGCGGATACACGGAAAAAAGGTTTACGTGGATACACGGAGAAAAGCTGAGCAAATTCTCTGTCTCCTGTTAACTCCTTCGCCTCCTCTCGTGCTCGAGACTCACGGACGGCCATCTTGTTGCCTGCTGGGTCGCCAAAGTAGCGGCTGACGGTTGACTTAACCTTCGTTCCGGCGTTCCCCAGCCGCCATTCTTCAACACATTCGAGACCATCCCCTCCTCCCCCATCCCTTTACCTTCCCTCCCACTCCCTCTCCATTCTTCTCCCTCCCTCCCTCTCCCTCTCTCGCTTTCTCTGTCGCCAACAGCGTCGTCGCAGCAGATCCCGCCGTCGTGCGCCTCTCTCGCCAAGGTCTATGTCGCCAGCACGGGCAGCGACACCGGCTGCTGCGACTCCACCACCGCTCCCTGTGGTACGCTGTGCTGCCTTCGCTGCTCGTCCGTGCCCTTGTACTATCCGTATCGTTTCGGCTTTGTCCTCGTGCTTACCACTCCTGGTTCCCGCTCCGTCCACCGGAACATTGCTTCTCCTCCCCCCTCTCCCTCTCCATCTCTCCGCCTCACTCCCCACCTCATCCCTCACTTTCCCCGTGTTCCCCGCTTTCATGTCCCCCCTCCACTTCCCCCCTCGTCCCCCCTGCTCCCCCCGCTCCTTCCCGCTCCCCCTGTTCCCCCCGTTCCCCCCGCAGCCTCCTTGCAAGCAGCGGTCGCCAGGGCGGCACCTTCCGCCACCATCACCCTCCTCCCACTCCCCGCCGGCTCTCCCCTATCCGCAATCAAATCTTCGCCGACCAAATCCGCTGTTCAACTGGGCGGCAAATCTCTCACCATCACCGGCGCCCCTCCCGCGTCCACCCCCGCGTCTCCCGCTGCAATCACACTCGACTGCGGCGGCGGCCCGTGCCTGAACGCCACGTGTGCTGGCGCGGGGTGCGGCGCGGGGAGCAAGGTGGTGCTGACGCTGGCGCTGTTCACGCTGACCAATGGCGTGTCGGCTGATTCGGGAGGATGCGTGGATGTGCGAGGGCAGGGCCTGGTTATCAAGTGAGTACCGCCGCAGACCATAGCTGACGTTGGGAGCAAGTAGAAATCCCCACTGCCGTGCGATGCCGTCGACGTTGATTCCTATGTTCAGCTGGAAGATTGGGAGGACGCGTGGATGTGCGAGGGCAGAGCCTGGTTGTGAAGTGAGTACCGCCGCAGACCATAGATGATGTTGAGAATTCTAACAAAACAGAGGATGCGTGGATGTGTGAGGGCAGAGGCTGGTTGTGAAGTGAGAATGCCCCAACCTCCAGCCCAAATGGCTGATGTATGGAGCGCATAGGAATTCCACGCCAACTGCTCCTGCCGACTTCGAATAGCTGTTTTCCTTCCGCCCTGTCTTCCCCCTCTTTCCACCCCCTCCCTCCCCCATGTCTCCTTCCCCCACTCCCACCGCCTCCACTTCCCGTTTCCCTCCCTCCCCTCCCCCTTCCGTTCCCCCATCTCCCCCCCCTCCCCCCCCCCTTCTTTCTGTTCCCCCCCTGCCTCCCCATGCCCGCAGCAACGTGGCGTTCTCCCGCTGCACGGCAACCAACCTGCGCGGCGCGGTGTCAGTGCAGGGCGCGGGGGCGTCTCTCACTCTCCCCTGCCCCCCGCTCCTTCCCCCCTCTACCCCCGCTCCCCTCCTCCCTGCAGCAACGTGGCGTTCTCCCGCTGCTCCGCCACCAACCTGGGGGGCGCGGTGTCAGTGCAGGGCGCGGGCGCGTCGCTCACAGTCTCCTCCGCCTCCTTCTCCGCCTGCTCCGCGCCTGGGTCCGACCTCACCTACATGTACAACTCGGGGGGCGGCGCTATCAGCGTCACTGGACCCGAGGGGGGGGCAGCTGCACCTGGGGGTGTGCGCGCAAAGCTGTCCGGGGTGACGGCGAATGGGTGCAGTTCGGAGAACGGGGCGGGAGGGGCGCTGCTGTTTAGGAATGTGAGGGTGGAGGTGGACGGAGGGGAGATGACCGGGTGCCAGGCGTATTTCGGCGGGGCGATTGCGACCATGTACTCGAGTGTGTCTATCGATGGGGTCACTGTCAGCAATGGACTGGTGAGTGAGCGAGGTGCTTGCTTCTGGTGTGTGGTGGTGGTGGGGCTTGTCAACAAGGACGGGTGGTGTGGCTTGCGTTGCGGCCATGTATTCGAGTGTGGTGGTCGATGGGGTGACAGTCATCAATGGCCTGCTGAGTGAGTGGGATGCGTGTTTCTGGTGAGAGGGTGAGAGGAGAATCCCCTGCAAATATCTCTCTCCTTCTCTCACCTCTCTTGATCTCCTCCCAAGCGGTCCGTTGTATTGATTCTCTCTCCCTCTCTCTCTCTCTCTCTCTCTCTCTCTCTCTCTCTCTCTCTCTCTCTCTCTCTCTCTCTCCCCCCTCACCTCCCACCAGGCTGTTCTTGGAGGGGCCATCGCGGACGAGGGTTCCTCCACCTACGCCCTTTCCTCCTCCTCGCTCACAGCCTGCTCCTCCAATGGCACGCTGCCAGCTGGCGTGTACGCGTCAGGCGACGGCTTCGGGGGGTGTATGGCGCTGAACGCCACGCAGACGGTTACAGTCACATCCGTTAATGTCACCAAGTGTGTCACGGATTACGAGGGAGGAGGCGCGTGGGTGTTCACAGTCACTCAGGTATGCACCTGCACTCTTGCTTCAGCATCACGAGAAGGCATTCGTTAGTGCCATGCCACCAAGAGTGTCAAGGATATGAGTCAGGAGGCACATGGGTGTTCACAGTCCCTCAGGTATGTGTGGCTGACTTCTGTTCTGAGTGGCTGTTGTGAGGACGAGGCTTGTGGCTGCATTGTTATGAGGACGAGAAAAAGAGGAAGACGCTTGGGGCGTGGAGTTTATGAGAGTGTCCCGACACGGAGGCATGATGGCGATTTTGTGGAGCAATTCGGTGCTAGGGAATTTGGAAGACCGGCCTGTGATGGTGATGAGGCGGATGAGTCATAATCACCGGATTCCCTAGCACCGAATTGCTCCACGGAATCGCCATCATGCCTCCGTGCCCGGACACTCTCATAATCTCCACGCCCCAAGCCTCGTTCTCCCTTTCTCATCCTCATGATCTGAGTAGCAATCAAGCTTTTCTCGGGACGTCTTGAACAATGCAGGCGTCTCCAACCAACTGAATCCTCTCCTGTTTCTGTCTGCTCTCTCCCTTTCACCCCTTCATCTCCCGCCCCCCCATTCCTTCCGTCCGTCTTCTCGTATTTAGGCAACCCTCACCAAGTGCGTCTTCTCTGACAGCTACGCAACATACCTAGGAGGAGGCATATCCGCCACGGGCGGCGTCCTCCTGATCTCCGACTCCACCTTTGCTCGCAACGTCATGGACTACGTTTCCAGCGCGCCCTCGGGCGGCTCACTCACATCCCCCTTTTCTCCCTCCCACCCCCTCTTTGAGGCCCCTCAACAACAGCGTTGAGGAGTGGTCTACGTTCTCGCTTCAAAACGTCTCAAATCCCTTTCTCCTCCCTCCCACCCGCTTCTCATTCCACTGTGCAGGCAACTCTCACCAAGTGCAGCTTCTCTGACAGCTACGCAACATACCTAGGAGGAGGCATATCCGCCACGGGCGGCGTCCTCCTGATCTCCGACTCCACGTTCGCCCGCAACGTCATGGACTACGTTTCCAGCGCGCCCTCGGGCGCCGGCCTATCGCTGAGCGCCACGTCAGCGAAAGTGGAGCGCACCGTGTTTGAGGATAACGTGGGGATCATGATGGGGGATGCGGCGACTGTGGATGGGTATGGTGGCGGAGTGTATGTGGGGCAGGATGGAGAGTCGACGGTAACCACCCAGGAGTTCATCTCCTGCACCTTCTCGCGTAACTTGGTGCGTCCTTTTCTATGACCCTGTTCTGTTCCCTTCTCTAAGTTGGTCTAGACTAGAATGGGGAAGCGCCGTTTGCTGATAGGTGTAAGGGGGAGAGGGGCGAGTGTATATGTCGGGCGACGGGCACGATGGTGAGGCCCTATCCTCTCCCTCCTCCTTCCCACCCACCCTTCTTCCCTCCCTCCCTCCTCCCTCCCTCCCTCCCACCCTCCGTCCCGCCCTCGCTCCATGCCTCCCTCTAGTTCTTGCTCTCGTTCTTTATCTCCCGTCCTGTGTGTACACCTCCGTCCTGCTCGCTCCATATGTCCTTTCCACCTTGCCATTTCCTTTTCTCTGCGTTGCTTCCCACCTCGGCCCACTTTTCTCCGCTTCGGAGGTCCTCCATTGTCGTCCATTTCGTTTCCCCTCTTCTCACCTCCCTCCTGTCCCCTGCAGGCTAAGGAAGGGGTGGGGTTCCACCAGTACGGAGGCGGACTCGCCACCTTCATCACCCGTCGTCACCTCGTCTAACCGCTTTGTTTTTCCCCACATGTCTCCACACCTCTCTCTTGTCCCCTTCAGGCGAAGGGAGGCGGGGGGTTCTACCAGTACGGAGGCGGACTCGCCACTTTCATCGCCCCCCTTCACCTCTTTTAACCGCTTCACATCCCGCCACACCTCTCCACACCTCTCTCTTGTCCCCTGCAGGCGAAGGGAGGCGGGGGGTTCTACCAGTACGGAGGCGTCGCCAAGTTCACCAACACTGTGTTCCGCGACAATGGGGGCGGCGAGCTGGGAGGCGCAAGTGAGTGGGAAGGATGGGGAGGGGAGGGGGTGACGGGCGGTTTGAGTGGTGTGGTTGGTGTGGGTAGTGTTGGGTGGGGGAGTTGGGGATAAGGGTGGGGGCTCATGGAACGGTCGACTCGCCAAGTTCACCAACACTGTGTTCTGCGTCAATGGGGGCGGCGAGCGAGCTGGGAGGCGCAAGTAAGTAGGGGGACGGGGAGGGGAGGGGGTGGCGGGGAGGCTCACGGAACGATTGACTCGTCGCGTTCACCAACACGGTGTCCCGAGACAACGGCGGGGGCGAGCTGGGAGGCGCAAGTGAGTGGGAGGGCTGGGGAGGGCAAGGGGGCGACGGGGTGGTCAGGTCAAGGCTGTGTGGGTAGTGGGGGAGGGGAGGATCAGGAGGAATGGGTGGGGCTCATGGAATGGTCGACTCGCCAAGTCCCTCAACACGGTGTTCCGCGACAATGGAGGGGGGCGTGTTTTGAGGGGCGTGTTCCGCTACCTGTTGGCACGCCTGTCCCCTTCCCCTTAAAACACAATGGAGGGGGGCGAGATGGGAGGCGCAACCACCCCCTCCCCCTCTTCTCCCCGCCCTCACCCCCTCACCCCCTCGCCACTCCCCACCATCACCCTCCCCCCCCCAGTGCTAGCGCTGGTGACAGCGGAGGTGCAGAGCTGCACGTTTGAGCGCAACAGTGTGTCGGGGTCGGGAGGAGCCATCTACAGCGAGGGCACGGGGTACCACAGAGTCCCTTCCTGTTGTGCGAGACGGCCAAGGGTCCCATTGTCACACGAGCACCACTACCCACTCCCCACCACCCACTCCCTTACCCCTTCTCTCTCTCCTCCCCCCCCCCCCACCCACCACCCACTCCCTTACCCCTTCTCTCTTCCCCCCCCCACACCACCCACCACCCACTCCCCCCTCTTTCCCCGCCCTCTCTTCCACCCTCCACCACCCCCGCCAGTGCTGGCGCTGGTGACGGCGGAGGTGCAGAGCTGCACGTTTGAGCGCAACAGTGTGTCGGGGTCGGGAGGAGCCATCTACAGCGAGGGCACGGGGTACCTGCGCATCATGGGGTCTACTTTCACTGCCAACTCCGTGCAGCTCAAGGACGGCGGTGCTCTCTATGTCATTGCGGTGAGTGAAGTGCTGCTGGGGCAGAGGGGGACAGGTGGGGAAGGGTGGGGATGGGTTGGATGGGCAGGTCACGAGGTGCCATACCATCTGCAGCGAGGGCACGGGGTACCTGCGCATCATGGGTCTACTTTCACTGCCAACTCCGTGCAGCTCAAGGACGGCGGCGCTCTCTATGTCATCGTGGTGAGTGGGAAAGGGTGGGGAAGGGTTGGGAGGGATGTTCAAGAAACAGATGCAACAGCTCAGCTCACGCCTTGTGTTTGCTCTTTCCCCATCTTTCCTTCTCCTCCTCGCCTCAACCACAGGCAGGCAGCGCAGGGCAGCGTTCACGGGCAACAGAGCCTACAGCTCAGCTCACCCCTTGTGTTTGCTCTCCCTCCTTTCGTTCCCCCTTCTCCTTTCTCGCTGCCTTCACCCGCCTTCCCTCAACCTAGGCGGACAGCAACGTGACAGTGCAGGGAAGCACGTTCAGAGGCAACAGAGCCAACAGCTCGCGAGGGGCCGCCATCTTCAGTGGGGGGTCGCTGCTGCAAGTAGATGACTCTCTGTTTGAGGAGAATTGGTCCTACCTCAAGGGCGGCGCTGTCACAGTTGAAGGCTCTCGAGGCGCAGAAGCAACCACCCTGGGGCGCTTCTCAAACACCACCTTCACCAGAAACACCTCCCCGGTGGGGGGAGGCGCATTCCTGTGCAGCCTCAACTGCACCGCCGATCTCACCAACTGCACCTTCTCCGAAAACAACAGCACTGCCGCCGGCGCCCTACTCGCGCAGGAAACCTCCTCCCTCACCTTCCGATCCTCCTCCTGCCAGGGCAACGCCGCGGACGCAGCAGGAGGGTGCCTATTGGTCACGGATTTCGCGACTATTACGGCGGATGGGAGCAAGTTTCGGGAGAATAGGGCGGGGAGTGGAGGCGGGGTGGGGAAGGTGTCTGGGTCAGGGAGGCTGGTGATGACCCGGTGTGAGGTGGAGGCCAATGAGAGCCCGACAGGTGGCGCGCTGTGGGTGGAGATGGAGGGTGTGGTGGAGGATACGCGGAGTAGCTTCACGGGTAACAAGGCGAGTTTCGAAGGCGGGGCAGTTTTTGCCACACACAGCGCCACTGTGACGCTGCTCTCGTCGCAATTCGGGTCGAATTCCGCGCTGAGAGGCGGGGGTATGGTTCTGGATACAGATGCGACTCTCACCTCCACCTCCTCCTCTTTCCTCAACAACTCCGCTTCGGCTCTTCTTATTAGGGGGAGTTCTCAGGCTACTCTCACTACAGCGTTTTTCTCGGGCAATTCGGCCCCTGCGGGCACCGGAGGGGCCATCTGGGCAGCTGCCGAAACTTCTCTCACGGTCCGATCGAGCAATCTGACGAACAACACGGCTGTCACGGGCGGCGGAATCTTTTCGGAAGGGTCTGCCCAGGTGACCCTGGATGCGTCGCGATTCGAGGGGAACAACGCGGTTACTGGCGCGGCGCTTGCTGCTGCGGGCAGCTCGAAATTTTCGGCAGGGAACCTGACACTCGTGAAAAACAGCGCAAGCCGTGCGGGGGGGGCGGCGGCGTTTTTGGACCAATCAAACGGGTTATTTAAGGGGGCGTGGATGACTGGGAACAAAGCGGTGGTGGGCGGTGCAGGGGTGTACGTGAAGCGAGCAGAGACTCTCGGGATTACCTCCTCTGGAGCTGCAGCTGCTGGAAATTCTACTGGTGCTCCGGCTACTGGATCAGCGCCAGCTGCTGCTGCTGCTGCCGTGAATGATGCGGGTAGTGCAGCTAGTGCTGCAAGCGGCGCAAACAGCAGCAGCAGCATGGGAGTAGGAAAGGCTGAGCTGGCTCCGCTGGTGTGCTCAAACCTCACATTCAGTGAGAACGAGGCCTTGTACCCGCAAGGAGTGGCCTTCTACGAAGCTTCCTTCAACCCTGCAGTGCGCATCGGGTGCGACGAGTGCGTGCGGGAGCAGGAGAGCCAGACCATAGGCAGCATCCCCAAGAACTTCTACTTCACATTCACAGGCATGGATGAGGGGGCTAACGGCCTCGGCACGGTTCCGTCCTTTGTGGCTCTCACGGCTGTGGGGACGCCCATCGCAGGGCTGACGGTGGTCATTGTGGACGACTACAACAACACTGTTGTTCAGGTGGGTGCTCAGGTGGTTTCAACAGTAGCAGCTCACAGCTCACTCCTCCTCCTTGACTCAATGCGAATGCCACCTTCCTTTTTTCCCCTTCCCTCTTCCCCGTCCCCCATCACATCCCCTGTTCCCCATCCCATCCTCAGGACAACTCGTCCTTTGTCGCAATCGCTCCCGATCGTCGCATCTCGGGGTTGCTGCGAGCAACAGCGGTGCAGGGACTGGCCGAGCTGCCAGAGGTCTCCGTCATGGTCACTCCCGACGAGGCCACGCCCTTCCGCCTCCTCGTCACCGTCTCCAGCCCCACTAATGAGTTCCCCGATATAACACACACCTTCACTGTAGACTTCTGCGCTGCGGGAACCTTTCTGAATACAACCTCGGAAGATGGAACCGGGGGGGACGGTGGTGGTAGTAGTACCAGCAGTACTGGGAGTGGGACATGTGACCCCTGCCCTGTCGGTAGTTGGTGCGAGGCTGGTCAACCGTCCACTCCCTGCGACGACGGCAGCTTCACGTTCTACCCCTACTCCACTAGCGCCGACGAATGTGTAGCGTGCGAGGATGACAATCTGGATTGCACGGGCGGCGAACTGACGATCGCGACGCAGGCGTGGTTGGATCCCAGGACGTATAATGACACGCCGACCACGTACAGCTGTATTATCACCAATGGGTGTGTGGAGCACCTGTATGAGTACAACCTCACCACCAACACCGCGGATGTTGAGATCTGCCCCACCGGCTACGACCCCTCCTCTCCGTAAGCACTGTTTACGGCCCTTTGGGCCCTCCTCACCGTAAACTCACTCTTTTGCCCCTCCTTCCCGTGAGTGTGCTGCCTTTTTCCCCTCCTCTCCTCAAGTGTGGTGCGCTTTGCACTTCCTTTCCGTGAGTGTGCTGCTGCCTTGGCCCCTCCCTAGTTTTGAGGCGCCTCAAAACTAGTTTTGTTTTGAGGCGCCTCAAAACCTTTTTCCCCTCCTCTCCTCAAGTGTGGTGCCCTTTGCACTTCCTTTCCGTGAGTGTGCTGCTGCCTTGGCCCCTCCCTCTCCCTTCCTTTATCATGCTCCTTGGTCCCTTCGCCCTCCGCTGTAGTGCACCAATGTGCCAGACATGTTCGAAACATCTCAAGTATTTCTGAGGCGCCTCAAAAGTTTTGAGGCGCCTCAAAAGTTCCCTCCGCCCTCCGCTGTAGTGCACCAATGTGCCAGACATGTTCGAAACATCTCAAGTATTTCTGAGGCGCCTCAAAAGTTCCCTCCGCCCTCCGCTGTAGTGCACCAATGTGCCAGACATGTTCAAAACATCTCAAGTATTTCTGAGGCGCCTCAAAACTTTTGAGGCGCCTCAAAAGTTCCCTCCGCCCTCCGCTGTAGTGCACCAATGTGCCAGACATGTTCGAAACATCTCAATTATTTCTGAGGCGCCTCAAAAGTTCCCTCCGCCCTCCGCTGTAGTGCACCAATGTGCCAGACATGTTCGAAACATCTCAAGTATCTCCCCCCTCGCCCACCCGCTCCACCTTGCCCCTGTTTCTTCCTGTTTCTCGGTCCTTCCGTCTCTCCCTGCGGCATGTGCTGTCCGTGATTCTACATCTCAAGGATCTCTCCTCTGCTTGGCCCACCCCATCCCCCTTCTGCATCCCCCCTGTCCTTCCTGTTCCTCCGTCCCTCCATCATCCCCCCTTGCAGCATGTGCTGTCTGTGCGCCAACAACTACTACTCGTTCCTCGGCGATTGTACTTAGAGTCGACTCGAAAGCCTTTCCTTCCTTTTCCTCGTTCCCCTTCACCTCTACCTGCAGCATGTGCTGTCTGTGCGCCAACAACTACTACTCGTTCCTCGGCGATTGTAACTACTGCAGCGACGTTTTCAAGAAGGTACGCTGTAACTCTTATGGCACATGTGCTTGCCAACCAATGTCTGTGGGTGTTATTGTTCCTGTTTTTGATTCAAATCAATACCCGATGTAACTCTTAGGTACATGCTCTCGCCAACAACCACTTGTGTTCTCACTCACACCTGTGTGTCCCTCCGTACCTCTGTGCCCTGTATGTATGCGCCTTCACTCCCCATCTCCTGCCACTTCCCTGTCAACCCACCCCTACTACCCCGTTTCCCCCACTTCCCTCCCACACAGCTCTTCCCGCTGCTCTTCATCCTCATGATTGGAGTGTGGGTGGCCATGTTTCTCCTTGCCAACAACCACTCATGTGCTCACACCTGTCTTGCATTGCACCCCCTACCCCTCCCCTCCCCCTTTCCACACAGCTCTTCCCGCTGCTCTTCATCCTCATGATTGGAGTGTGGGTGGCCATGTTTCTCCTTGCCAACAACTATGACAACATCGACATCTTTCTCACCGAGGTACCTCCAGTTTCCATGCTAGATACATGCCGTTTAAGTCAACTCCAAAGTAGTAGCCCTTCCTTCCTGCTCCTCCCCCTCGCCAACAACTATGACAACATAGACATCTTTCTCACCGAGGTACTTGCTTGCCAGGCACATGTGCGTACGTACAACTTGTGAGACTATCTTTGAAAAGTCTCGAAATTCCTCAGGGTTGGGAGTGTGGGTGGCCATGTTTCTCCGTGCCAACGTTTGAGGCGCCTCAAACGTGTGGGTCGCCATGTTTCTCCGTGCCAGCAACTACGACAACATTGACATCTTTCTCACCGAGGTACCTCCAGGTTCCATACCTGCGAGGCATGTACTCGACCCCACCAGGTGCATTAACCCCGCCGCCCATGAGCCTGATTTATCAACCCGAACCTCTTTTCCCTCCTTCAAAATCCCTTTGATGTCCCTTCCATACACCCTCACCAGGTGCAATACCTCACAGTCGTGGCCTCCATAAACCTGAACGCTGAATGCAGCAGGCCTGTCAACCCTGCTCTTTAACATCACCCACGCCCGGCCCCTTCCCCCATCGCCCTACCAGGTGCAATACCTCACGGTCGTGGCCTCCATAAACCTGAACGCACCAGCAGCGCCAAATGGATGGGTGGGGTGGCTCATCAAGATCTACAACCTCTCCGTCTTCGACCCCGTGAGTGCCACGCACATGCATGCACGCATGCTACCATGCACTGAACCTGTGGTGTTCCATGGGTCACTTGCCAAATGGGTGGGTGGGATGGCTCATCAAGATCTACAACCTTTCCGTCTTGGAAGTTCGACCCCGTGAGTGCCACGCTGTCTCGTGCATGCATGCTTGCTGCTTGCTTCTCTTCCCATAACCTCAGCCTTGCATGCGCATGTGTGCAAGCATGGCCCATCAAGATCCACAACCTCTCCGTCTTCGACCCCGTGAGTGAAATCCGCGTGCATTTTCAATTCAAGCTACACCACCATCAGGTGTAGAGCTTTACGAGTCGTGATGTTGCAGCCACGCATTCTTCTCTTCGTCACCTCACCCTACACAACCCCATCTTCCCCACTCCGTCTCTCCACCCTACTTACCTCCCCATGCTTCCCTGTTGCGCCCTTCCCCCTCCCTCTGCCCTCCTCTCCCCTTCCCCCCCCTCCACCCTCCCCACTCGTCCCCGTCTCTCCTCTCCCTCTCCCCCGTCCCCCTTCCCCCCACAACTGCAGGACGTGGTGGGACCCAACTGTGTGCTGACCTACCGCTTCCCGCAGCAGTTTGTGTTTGGAATCCTCATCTGCCTCGTCGTCTACGCTCTCCACTGGTGCCTCTTCCTCTTCCGCCAACACATCAAGCTGCTCAACGCCAAGAGGACAGCTCCCCTTCTCTCCCTCCCCTCTTCCACTCACCTTCCCCCTCCTTTCCCGTTCTCTCCTCTCCCTCTCCCCCGTCCCCCTTCCCCCCACAACTGCAGGACGTGGTGGGACCCAACTGTGTGCTAACCTACCGCTTCCCGCAGCAGTTCGTCTTCGGAATCCTCATCTTCCTCGTCGGCCTCGTGGTCTACGCGCTGCACTGGTGCCTCTTCCTCCTCCGCGAGCATATCAAGCTGCTCAAGGCGAAACGGACAGCTGAAAACGGCGAGACGAGCGGAGTCGGGCAGCTGAGCAGCACGGCGGCGAAGCAGCGGAGGCAGGAGTATTACAACGGGCTGGTCGGTGGTGTTGCGAGCTGGCTGGACGTTTGTTACATGGGTATTCTCGCCCGCGTGCTGCCCGTCTTCCAGAGCCAGATGGTCGGGGATACCAAGGTACGCTGTGCGGGTGTTTAGTGCGGTACACATGTGTGGTATGGTTTCCAGAGGTGTGCCTGTGAATGGAGGCTACGAGTGGGGTGGCTGGGCATGGGGCAGCGGAGCAGCACGGCGGCGAAGCAGCGGCGGCAGGAGTATTACAACGGGCTGGTGGGGGGCGTGGCGAGCTGGCTGGATGTGTGCTACATGGGTATCCTCGCCCGCGTGCTGCCTGTCTTCCAGAGCCAGATGGTTGGGGACACCAAGGTGCGGTGTGGGGGTGTCTAGTGCGGTGCTTGTGTGTAGTATGGTTTGCTGGGTGTGTGTGATTGGAGGGTGGGTGGTCTGGTGGGGGGAGTGGCGAGCTAGCTGGATGTGTGGTACATGGTTATTCAGGCGGAGATTGAGTGGCTGTCAGCAACGCACACGGGCATGCTCATCCCCTCCACCATCATCCTCATCGTCTACCTCTCAATCCTCCCCATAAGCTATGTCCCATGCCTCATGCCTTCTGCCCCCTGCCCCCTGCTTCCCCCTCCCAGGTGATGCTGTTTGTCCCGGAGATCGAGTGGCTATCCTAAACGCACATGGGCATGCTCATCCCCTCCATCCTCCCCTTCTTTAGTCTATCAAAGCTAGTCCCAAACCTCATCGCTCACCTCTCGTTACCATCTCTTCCCTCCCTCTCCCTCCCTCCCAGGTGATGCTGTTCGCTCCGGAGATCGAGTGGCTATCCTCGACGCACATGGGCATGCTCATCCCCTCTATAATCATCCTCATTGTCTACCTCGCGGGCGTGCCGCTGCTCTACGCGTGGCTGCTCTTCTCAGCCAAGTGGAACCGCACGCTCTTCACCGCTGAGTTTGACGACAAATACGCTTTTCTCACAGAACGATTCGGCCGCAAATTCTACTGGTAAGGTTTCCGCTGCTGGTGCTGGTGGTGCTGGGAACGAGGGTGTTGTGTGGTGCTAATTCTGGTGAGTTTGGTGCTGCTGCTGCTGGTACTGGTGCTGCTGGAGGTGAGGGTGCTGCTATTCATGCCCCTGCTCTATGCGTGGCTGCTCTTCTCAGCCAAGTGGAACCGCACGCTCTTCACCGCCGAGTTTGACGACAAATACGCTTTTCTCACCGAGCGATTCGGCCGCAAATTCTACTGGTAAGGGCTCTCGTGGTGCTGGTGCTGCTGGGGGAGAGGGTGTGCTGGTTCTGGTGCTGCCACTGGTGCTGCTGCTGGTGAAGGTGCTGTAGGGTGTGAGTGTGCTGCTAACTCACCGTTGGCTGTACTCTTGGCTGATAATTCCTGCCATCTTCCTTTCCTCCCCTCCCGTTCCCCACCCCTCTTGTCCCCCACCGTCTCCTCCCTCTCTTTTCCCCCAGGTGGCACCTGCTCAACATGTCGTTGCGAGTGCTGTACGGATGCATCCTCGTCTTCCTCTACCAGAACCCCGAGATTCATTCCCCTTTCCCATCTCCCCTTTTTCTCAACCCCAGCCCTCCAGGTGGCACCTGCTCAACATGTCGCTCTGGGTGCTGTACGGAGGCATCCTCGTGTTCCTCTACCAGAACCCCGAGGCTCACTCCCCTCCCCCCCCTCGCTTCCCCTTCACCTCCACAAAACCCATCACCCCTCCCCCAGGTGGCACCTGCTCAACATGTCGCTGCGAGTGCTCTACGGCTGCATCCTTGTCTTCCCCTACGAGAGCCCCGAGGCTCACCCTCCTTCCCCTTTCCCTGTGTACACCCCCTCTTCACCACCCCTCCCCCAGGTGGCACCTGCTCAACATGTCTCTCCGGGTGCTGTACGGATGCATCCTCGTCTTCCTCTACGAGAACCCCGAGGCTCAGATCATCATCCTCGTCGTCCTCCAGATCCTCCGCATTGTCGTCGAGTACCGCTTTGCACCGTTCACCTCCTCCTCTGTCGAGTACCTTCAGGCCACCCTCAACCTCGGTGAGTGCTGATTTGCTCTGTGCATAAGTTTCCCTTGAACCTCCTCTAGAGTTCCGCTTTGCACCGTTCGCGTCCTCCTCTGTCGAGTACCTTCAGACCACCCTCAACCTCGGTACGTAACCCCACACAGTGTTGCTGTGATAGGCACCTGAAAGAGAGAGGTGTTTTTCACGCTATCTCTGCTCATCTTCAACTACACATCCGAGTCCATCCTCTCAGAGGTCATCATGGCCATCAGCACCGTCCTCATGCTGCTGCCCGCCATCGTGGCCATCAGCTACGAGGTCTCGAGCTACTTTCCCTTCTCCTCCTCATGCTCCCTTCTGCTCCTTCCAAAGCCTTTCCCCCCTCTTTCCCTCCTCCTGCCCCCCTTCCTATTCCCTGTTCTCCCCTCCTTCCCCTCCCCCAGGAGAGGTGTTTTTCACGCTGTCGCTGCTCATATTCAACTACACATCCGAGTCCATCCTCTCAGAGGTCATCATGGCCATCAGCACCGTCCTCATGCTGCTGCCCGCCATCGTGGCCATCAGCTACGAGGTGTCGAGCAAGCGAATGGAGGCGTTTAACAACAGTGTGCTGGACGAGATCTGGGAGCAGGAGAGCGGCAAGAGAGAGGACCAGCTGAGGGGGCTCGACCCTTATCAAATCGTGCAGCTGACGCAGGTGGGTGGGGGTGTCTGTGTTTGTGCATGCATGTGTGTGCCTGTGTCTGCCCGTGCGCCTGTGTGTTGGAGTCAGGAGAGAGAGAGGACCAGCTGAGGGGGCTCGACCCGTACCAGATCGTGCAGCTGACACAGGTGGGTGGGTGGTTGATCCGTGGTGTGCGTCCGTGCCTGCCTGTCTGTGGGAACAAACACGGCTTTTGAGTCGACTCAAAAGCAGGGGCTCGTCTTTGCAGTCGACTCAAAAGCAGGGGCTCGTCTTTGCAGTCGACTCAAAAGCAGGGGCCCGTCTTTGCAGTCGACTCAAAAGCAGGGGCTCGTCTTTGCAGTCGACTCAAAAGCAGGGGCTCGTCTTTGCAGTCGACTCAAAAGCAGGGGCTCGTCTTTGCAGTCGACTCAAAAGCAGGGGCTCGTCTTTGCAGTCGACTCAAAAGCAGGGGCTCGTCTTTGCAGTCGACTCAAAAGCAGGGGCTCGTCTTTGCAGTCGACTCAAAAGCAGGGGCTCGTCTTTGCAGTCGACTCAAAAGCAGGGGCTCGTCTTTGCAGTCGACTCAAAAGCAGGGGCTCGTCTTTGCAGTCGACTCAAAAGCAGGGGCTCGTCTTTGCAGTCGACTCAAAAGCAGGGGCTCGTCTTTGCAGTCGACTCAAAAGCAGGGGCTCGTCTTTGCAGTCGACTCAAAAGCAGGGGCTCGTCTTTGCAGTCGACTCAAAAGCAGGGGCTCGTCTTTGCAGTCGACTCAAAAGCAGGGGCTCGTCTTTGCAGTCGACTCAAAAGCGTCCGTGCCTGCCTGTCTGTGAGAACAAACACCAAGTGGGAGGACCAGCTGAGGGGGCTCGACCCCTGCCAGATCGTGCAGCTGACGCAGGTGGGTGGGGAGATGGGTGGGAGGGTGGGTGCGAGCATGGGTGGGCGGGTGGGTGGGTGCATTTGTGCACCTGGCTTGGAGAGTGGTTCCGACCTGGAGCTCTCTTCCCAGTTCCTGCACCCTGCCAGGGCATTGACCTGCTGCTGAGGGTGCCAACCCAAGCCCACGTTCCTCCCTATGCCTCCCCTCCCCCTCCTCCCTTTCTTCTCCTTCCCCTTTTCCCCACCCTCGCAGATAGGAGAGCGGTTCCCCCCTTCCGCCCACTGGCGCTCTTCCAGTTCGTGCATCACTGTCAGGACATCGACCTGCTGCTGAGGGCGTCAACCTCCCTTCCCCCCCCTCCCTTGCGTCCCTCTCACCTTATCAGATAGGAGAGTGGTTCCGCTCGCGTGCGCTCTTCCAGTTCCTGCACCACCGCCAGGGAATTGGCCTGCTGCTGAGGGTGCGGGACCGCGTGCAAGCATGCTCTCTTCCTCCCTTCCTTCCTCCCGCCCTTCCAGATCGGAGGGTGGTTCCGGCCGCCTATGTGGAGAAAAACGCGTCCTGCGTCTAGGACGCTTGCGTCCAGACGCAGCGTCTTAGACGCAGGACGCTAGAGGAGGGCCTTTAGGACGCATGAAAAGACGCATGCCCGGGCAGGGCAAAAAAAACCCCTGGGCAGTCGAAAAATGATGTTATAGGGTATGGGAAGGGGGGGGGGGGGGGGGAACGACGATGCACACATTTGAGGCAAAATCGTCCCCTTAACATTTCCAGGGTTTAGGGTTTACGAAGGAGAATTGTCTTGGTAAACCCTCTAGGGTGTTTTTGATGGTCGAAATGGGTTAGGGGGGGTCGACATGACGCGAAATTGAGATTCGCGTCGAAATCGTTGAAGTCAATTTTGCGCTGAGGCAAAAAAAAAATTCCGGTCAGCCCGAAAAAAAAGCGGGGTGCGTCCTGCGTCTAGACGAGCGTCCTGCGTCTCTGCGTCTGGACGCTGCGTCCAGACGCACGACGCAGCAGGACGCGTGCGTCTTTCTCCACATAGCTGGCCGCGTGCTCTCTTCCAGTTCCTTCATCATCGTCAGGGCATTGACCTGCTGCTGAGGGTGCGGGACCGCGTGCAAGCGTGCTCCCTGGCAGGCCTCGGGGAGGTCGAGTGGATCGAGCAGCTGAGATAACCCCAGCAGTACACGGGTCTCTCCCAGATCCTCACCTTAGTCTCCCTATCCACTTCCCTCGCCTCCCCTCCCGTGCATACCCCTTGCATCACCAGATAGGAGGGTGGTTCCGCCCGCGTGCTCTCTTCCAGTTCCTTCATCATCGTCAGGGCATTGACCTGCTGCTGAGGGTGCGCGACCGCGTGCAAGCGTGCTCCCTGGCAGGCCTCGGGGAGGTCGAGTGGATCGAGCAGCTGAAAAAGCCCCAGCAGTACGCCGGTCTCTCCCAAATCCTCCTCGGAAACAAAAAGGGTTACATCCCCGTCGCGCGGTTACCACCTCAGGGAGTGTACTGTCTGCTGCACGGGGTGTGGCATGCGGACGGGGCGTGCACGGCTGCCCAGGCTGCGGCGGCGGCTCGGCGCCGAACCAACCGCCGGACCAAGTCGCGAAGCAGCCGGGTTTCGTTCGGGGGAGGGATGGGAGAGGGAGGGCCGGAGACTCCTGGGAGTGGGCTGAGGAGAATGGTGAGCTGGGGGTCGAACACACCTGGAGGGGCCAGTATGAGGGAGAAACCTGTTAAGAGTCTCAAGATTGCTGAGAAGAGTTGGCCTCCGCAGCTTGGGAGGAAAGTGCACTGGTGCCCTGCTTCGGGATTCGATCCCCTTGCGGCGACGAAGAGGTTCGGGAGCGGGAGGATGGGTGCTGGTGGGATGGCTGGGACTCCTACGGGAGGAGGCGGGGGATGGGGAGGAGGAGAGGAGGCTAGAACGCCGTACCCTGTTGCCCCGGAAACCCCGACTGGCATGCCTGAAACTCCTGTTACCCCTGCTGCCCCTGCGGCCCCTGCGCCTGCGGCTGCTGTTAATGGTGGTGGGGATGGAGACTCAAAGCCAAAGAAGCGGCTTCTCAGGCAGCTGTCGGATCGAGATGACAGCGACACAGAGGGAGCAGCAGCAGGAGCAGGAGCGGGAGCAGGAGCGGGAGGGGGAGGGGCAGGGAGCAGGCCTGGTACAGCAGGAACGCCAGGAGCGGGAGGAGGGATCATGCGAGGGGCAATCAGCCGACCGGGGAGTTCAGGAGGGGCGGCGATCGGAGGGGCGGGCGGGGGGGGGATGGAGGTGGTGCAGGCGAATCTGGACATGGCTGAGTTGACTTTTGCGTTCCAGTCGAACCTGGCTCTGCTGGTGAAGGCTGAGAAGAAACGTAAGGTGCAGAAGGAGGCGCTAAGGCAGATCATCCACTCCAAGGCGACTTACCACATTCTCAGCTGGTTTACAAGCGAGGAGAGGTGAGTTTTGGTGCTGTGCGGTGCGGAGAGGTGAGGAGTGTTGTCAAAGGGTGAAGGGGCACGGAAGGGCCAAGGGCAGAAGTTGAGGCTCTGCGGCAGATCATCCACTCCAAGCCCATGTACCATTTTCTGAGCTGGTTCACCAGTGAAGAGAGGTGAGTGGTGGTGCTGTGTGTGCTCTGTTTCTAAGGTGAGGTCCAGGGGCAGTGGGCAGTGGGCAGAAGGAGGCGCTGCGACATATCATCCACTCCAAGGCGACTTATCATATTCTGAGCTGGTTCGCCAGTGAAGAGAGGTGAGATGGAGGTGTGCGAAGAGAGGTGAGTGGTGGTGCGGTGAGGTGAGATGGAGGTGTGTGAAGGGAGGTGAGTGGTGGTGCTGTCGAAAGGGGCACGTAATGTCACACAGCAGAAGGTGAGGTGCTGCGGCAGATCATCCACTCCAAGGCCACGTACCAGCTCACTGGTTCCCCAGGGAGGAGAAGTTAGTGGTGGTTCACGATCAGATGCTGTTTGTTGTAGCGCTTGTGAGGGGGGTGAGGACTTCTGAGGCGCCTCAAAAGTCGCCGCAAAACGCGTCTCAAAAGAGGTAAGTGGTGTTTCACGATCGGAGGCTGTTTGTTTTGGAGTTTGTGAGGGGGGCAGAGCTGGTGAAGGCGGTGAGGCAGGCAGCAAGGTATTTCCAGCTCGATCCTGCCATCTCTCTCACCCTCCCCCACCTCCCCCTCCTTCCCCCCTCCCACTTCCCTTCCCACACATGCCGCCAACCCCAATCCCCTCTTCCTCACCAGCACGGTGGACGATCAGAGGCTGTTTGCAGAGCTGGTGAAGGCGGTGAGGCAGGCGGCCAAGACGCGCAAGAGGTCCATGCGCTGGCTGCAGGGCGCTCAGTGCTTCTACCCTGGGGAGGGCCGCCTCACCAACCAGCTCTCCAAGATGCTGTAAGTTGATGCTCTCTCTCTTGAGTCACCTCGGGACGCGGCACATGTTTTGGCTTTGCCAGGATCGAGGGAGGATCGAAGCCCGTACACCGATTCTCCCACATCGACCGGCACACCGATGTGCACACACTGCAAATTTGCAGTGTGGTAGACACGTCGAGCCATGGGTGCCAGGATCGAAATCGCATATTCGGGCGGGAGGCGGAATACACCAACAACTTGGTCGTTATCCATTCAGAGCGAAGCACATCTGGTCGTTATCCAATCAATTTTGGCCTGCGACCTTGGGCGACGCCGATCGGTCACGTCACGTCTGTCACCTGTGGCGCGTTGTACCCTCCCGCCAACCCAAACGCACGATCGATGCGTGCACTTGGGCACATCGATCGTGGGAGCTGCAGGTGCCACCATCTTGGGTACCCGTTTACTGTACCTTTTAGATTTCCCTGCGAAAAATGGATACCAGGCATTGGTAATGTCGCCAATATACTGTACGAGGGGCATATCGATCCCCTCCCACGGTCGATCCTGGCATTATGAATACAGGTGCCGCGTCCTTAGAAAGAGCTCCATGCGCTGGCTGCAGGGTGACTCATCACATCAGTTCTCCGAGGTCCCGTGGTTTTTGCTTACTATTTTTTCGTCTATTCTCTTTTCTTGCCACAAATATTGCTGTCTTTGTAGCCAAGCCATGTGTTGAGTTGCGCATTCCAGAGTTGCAATTTCGAGTGTGTACTATGAGATTTCTTCATGTCTTCATGTTGGCTGTGTGCTGCAGGAGTGAAGAGCGCCCACTTGACAACAATGAACCTAATGGAATGCGAATGGAGCCTTAGCTCCCTGTGATCGAACGAAGTTGTTATATATATGAAAAAAAAATATGTGTGCTGTATTATACCGGGACAACATACCCGTCCTATTTATTTTGCAAATAGCTGACATGCTTCGGCTCAGCCATGAGATTTTGTTTACTTGAGTTGGCTTCATTGGAGCTAGCACTGTGTCTTGAGGGTTTTGCTGAAATACTTTGATAGTAGGTGTAGAACAATGATGGGTTTTGCTGAACAATGAGGGCTTGTTTCATTAGGGGAAAACCTCCTAACGATTATGAACCTGGGTGGCTTTCTGGAGTCCGTGCAGCGTAGGGTAATTGGTCGTTGGATTCTTGTGGACAGCCCACGTCGGAGAACTGGTGATGGAGATAATCCAGGCGAGATGAATCTGACGCAAAAATCTCACCGATATTGGTACTGTTCTGTACATGCAGTGGCATGAACGCATCCGTTGCTTATCCACCACCAGAAACTGTTCCCAGTTGCGTCAATCACCTCCACAGCTGGGGAGGCAGGATCTCAATCCTCCATCTGAACCATCAGCTCGAAGCGCTACCACGTGTTTTTTCTGGCCCAAGGCCGCTCTCACTGCATCTGTCTCGCGGGAAGTCCTTGTGCATGAGTTGGCATTTTGCAACAAATCTTCTGCTTACGTGGCCAAAGCCCGCGCCCTCGTGAAACTGCCCCTCGCAATTTTTCTTCGGGCTGTGGGCAAGGTGCTCGGTTGAAATGAGCGTCGGTTGGACCTTCCAGCAACCCTGACGTGTTGAATTATTGTTTCTTTTTGCTTGATTGCTTTCCTATACAGTGCGCCATGGAAAGTAGCACAAAATAACAGCTGACGCGAGAGGACAGGAGACATTGCCAGACATCCCGTTTGGCACGCGCCGCATGTACACCCTTTTTTTGCTCTACACTGTTAATAGCTATTATAACCGATCGGATTTACACACATCGATGCGTCCAGGATGGTCCATGCACATACGATATAAGCACGTTTTCTCGCACTCAACCGTACGCAAAAGCAAGGTTAGTTTTAAGAACCGCTGTGTACCGTTCTCCAGAAGTGTATTTGCCCATCACTACCTGCAGTTGGGCTGTAAGCACGAGACCGCTACGTTCCAAGCAACAGTAAGTACTGTAGCCTGTGAATCTCGTTATCAGTGTAGCGCAAAAAAAGGTGTATCCTTCCTACACCATCGATTTTCGAATTGCTACTGCTTTGTCGGCATTCGCTATGTTGCCGCTCATGTCCGTCTCCTTTGCAGAGGGTGATTTGTCTCTGGTCTCGCGTCTCTGTTCCATAGGCTTTGTTGTGACGATGTTATCGCAGGAACTACAATGTCGTTAGCATCATATCTGCATTCAACAATGCTGTTCCTAGGCTGTGGCTGTCGCGGCAGCTTCAACCCCGTCCATACATCATCCACAAATCAAGCGGATGAAATTATCGCAACCGCCATGGAATGAAGCATTTTTAGCGGCAATTGGTGAGCCGACAAGCTGCCAGTGAATCTCCAGAGGAGCCTATTAGGCCCGCATGTACCTTACCTCCATTTTAGAGCTTACATACGTCTACACTGTCTGGTGCTGTCCTGCCGTGCGCTAAATTGTACACACTCTCTCTCCACTCCAGCTTATCATCTCATCTCTCTCTCCCTCTCTCGCTTTCTCTCACTCGCTCCTGCTCGCGCCTGAAGCTCATTCAGCTTGTGAGCCTGCTGGGCTCAGGTAACTGAGATGCCCGTGATTCCCATCCCAACCCAACGCAGCACTTGTACACACGGCCCACAACAACTCGAGAACGTGTGGCCGCAAATTGGCGCTCCACGTTCACGAAGGGTCACGGTCGAGCCCTACGGAGTTTGAGCCTGGACATTCAGCTCAGGCCCTCGCGTTTCGAATTCGCATCCGTCCCAAGGTATCGTCACTAGGGCAATTACCTGAGGGACAATCCAGCGCCTCTTACACCACTGTAGGACGAGCATTCTAGAAGAGGCTAGACACAGCAAAGCATTGTAGAAGATTCCTTGTTTTTTCAAAATCGAAGGAAATAGTCCAGCTCCTAACACGCTGACTGTCTGACGTTCCGACCGACCCCATTAGTTACCTCACTTCGATTCGCTGGAGATTTGACCACGATCGGACATGGAGCAACATTCGATACTGAGCTGTATGTAATCCCATCAAATTCGTACTAATATCTTACTCTCTCCCGCGTCTCGGTCGCAGCACAGTGAGGGAAAAGGCTATTAGGACCAAATTAAGCGCATTGGAAAGTCTATAATTAGGCAAACCGCGCAGACCAATGGCTGGTGGAGGCGGCTCTGTCGGCGCAAATGGCGCCGCAGGTCCCGCCTTGTTTGCCGCACCCAAGCCGACTGGGATGGCGGCAATCGTGCAGCAATCCATGGCGGTTCAGTTCCTTGTCGACCCGACCACAGCCGCGATTCTCGGCTCGAGTAAAGGCGCGTCGCGCACGCTGGGTCCGGCTGTCAATGACCAGACGTCGCTCCTCGATATTACCTTTCTCTCGCAGAACAAATGGCGCCATTTGATTCGCCAACTCAGCCGCGGGAAGGTGGAAAAGGTTCATCTGCCCGGCATCATTCGGGCCAAGCAGCCTCGGATGTCCATGCGATTCTCCACGTCATCAGCGGCCGCGTCAGCGTCTATGGCAACTCCTAGAAAATCAGTTGCGGGTACCCCGAGAGAATCCAGGCCGTCGTCGTCCGACCGTTCATTTCACCAACCCGCAACGGCCACGATTGACCCAGCCGCGAGCCGCGCCTCCAGCGATTGGCTGGCCCCCGCAAGCCAAGCCAATGCCGGTTCAGTCACCAGCAGTGGTAGAAACTCCACTCGACCCAGTGATGTCTTAAAAGTCGACTTACCGGAAATCGATATTCCCAAGACCATCCCGACACCACCATCAATCCCGTCCAGTGGCAGTGGTGGCTCGAGTTCCACTGATGCGACTGCCGCGAGGCGCGACTCTTCTGGTGCGGGTCGTGGGTCGTATCCCCGCAGAATACGGACTGCGTCGTTTGGTCGAGCGGGCTCCTGCAACGAAGCGATTCCCGAGAACGGCGGCAGCGCGGCCGGCGGCGGGAACAACGCCGGAACTGACGCTCCCGCCTCCGTCTGGGCCGCAGAACATGCGGGGAGTGCGTACAACGAAGGAGCCTCAAAAGAGGGCGCTTCGTCTGGTGACCGGACCCCTTCGATATTGCGTGCGTCTCCGAGAGTGTTGCAAAAGCTTCCGTCTTCGTCGTCCCTCCCGCCGCTTCTTCCGGCAACGGATTCGACCGACAGCAGTAGCAGCGGACGAAGCAGCAGCAGCAACGACCGGCACGGCGGCTCGAGCCCGTGGGACGGCGGCCTTACCTCCCCGCCAACCCCCTCCCCGAACAGCATCATCCGGAACTGTCTTCCCGCCATGAGCGGAACTCCCAACGCGGCTGGCGCGGGCCGAATGGGCGCAAATCTGATGGTTGCGCGCGCGCCCACCCCGGCCCTCCCCTCGCCGCCGGAAGCGGAAGGAACGACTGCCAACAACGCTGTTTCGCCGGTGCCCAGCGAAGGGGGCAGCGCAAGCGCGGGACGGCGAGGGCCTGGAAGGATGATGTCGATTCGCGGACGTAAGACGGAGAAACGTGGGGTAAAAGGTGCAACGGAGAGTGAATCTGGCGAATTGAGCTTGCAGGGTTCGCCGCAGCAGTCGCAGCAGGAGCGGATGCAAATCGACGGCGAACAGCGCGGGGAGCCAGCGCTGGCGGAAGGGTCGGGGGAAAGCGTTTCTACGCACGCAGCTAAGCCTCCGCAGCAGAGACCAGCGGGCAGGGGGAGAGAGTGGCGGAAAGGTCTGAAGAGTTTGTTCGGGTCAAATTCGGTCAAGCGGAGAGGGGAAGTGGAGGAGGGGTGCAGTGTCAGAGGGGGGGAAAACACAACTGGCGGAGTCGAAACCGTTGCGACGGGGGAAGCGGAGGCAGCAGATACGCGAATGGGGGAGGTGAGCTCACGGGAGGAGGAGGCAGAAATGTCGAGCAGCGATTTTGTAACGGGGATGAGTACAGCGGAGGTGGACGAGTCGGGTGACTTTCGGCGAGTTACGGTGGAGCTACAGTACTTCCAATTGAATTCCTCCAAGGACCTTGTTGCCACAGGTAATATTGACTTACCTCCAATGTAACATCCTCTCTTTAGGCCCAGCATCAGCACAAACAAATGTTGCAGCTGCAGAAGCTCATTATTGTTCTCTTCTATCTCATCTGATGCCTTTTATCAGCGAAAATGTACATCAAATCAACCCTACTCACGTCCTTTTCCTCGGTATTTATTCTTCCTATCCCCCCTCTGCTTTGCAGTTCAAGTCCTCCAGTCTCACGCTGAGCAGCAGCGGGAGGTGCAGCAGGCGCAAGCGGTTCTGCAGCTGCAGAACTACGCTGGACTGGGAACAGTAGTTCTAGAGGGTGTAGACGGTGTGGTAACCAGCTGTAACACCAGCGCAACATGCATCCTCGGATTCCCAGAGCCTTACATCATGGGGCAGACGTTACAACACTTCGTTGCAGAATCTGAGAAGGCTACTTTCGCTGTAAGTCCCGCTTTCTTTTCTCCCTCACGTCATTGCACAACTTCCCTTATCCCCGTTTTCTCCCTCCTTACTACTTACCCTCGCTCCCACCATGCCTCCAATCATCACTTTCACAGTATTCACTCCCATTTTCGTCATTTGAAAAATAAGCCTTCCTGCCGCATAACCTTTTCCCTTTTCCCCTTCCTCTAACCTCACTTTTCCCTCTCCCATCCCCCTCCTCCCACATTCTCAAACAATTCAGGAGGAGTACAGCAAGGTGCAGCAGGGTACTCAGGAGTGGACGCAACAGGAGATTCGGTTGAGAAAGATTGACCGAACCACAGTGGCAGTTCGGATCACTATGACTAGCCTATCCACTTCTGGCTCGTCTGCTGCTGCCCCCTCTGCTGCTGCCCCCTCTGCTGCTGCGCCTGCTGCCACCCCACCTGCCTCTACTGCTACTGCTGCCGCTCCCATTGGTGCCATGACGGCTGCAGCGGCTGCTGGTGCTGCTGCTCCTGCTGCTGCCGCTCCTGCCGCTGTTGCCGGCGACACAGATGCCAGCAACATGAGTCGCACAAGCAGCCATGAGAGCGGTTCAAGTGGGAGTGATGCAGGGCGAGCAGCAGTCAGAGAGCACACGGCGGTGCTCTGCATGTTTCAAGACATCAGCGCCCAGAAGGCCCTGGTAAGCATTGTGACTTGTTTGGAATGCAGTCAGAGTTGACTCAAGAGTCAACTAGCAGTCAGAGAGCACACGGCGGTGCTCTGCATGTTCCAAGACATCAGCGCCCAGAAGGCCCTGGTAAGCATTGTGATTCTGCAATTAAGCTTTCCCACAAGGCCCTGTTAAGCACTGTGATTCTGCGATTAAGCTTTCCCACAAGGCCCTGGTAAGCATTGTGATTCTGCAATTAAGCTTTCCCACAAGGCCTCGTAAGCATTGTGATTCTGCAATTAAGCTTTCCCACAAGGCCCTGGTAAGCATTGTGATTCTGCAATTAAGCTTTCCCACAAGGCCCTGGTAAGCATTGTGATTCTGCAATTAAGCTTTCCCACAAGGCCCTGGTAAGCATTGTGATTCTGCAATTAAGCTTTCCCACAAGGCCCTGGTAAGCATTGTGATTCTGCAATTAAGCTTTCCCACAAGGCTCAACTTTCCCTCCTCCCTGCCACCTCTTCCCCCATCTCCCCCTCCTCCCCCTCCTCTCCCCCCCCTCTTAGGAGCAACACATGGAGAACTGCCGCATGAAGGTGGAGCACTTCCCTGCGGGCTGTTAGGCATCCTCTCGCCCTCACTCACGCACCCCAGCTTCCCTTCCTCTCGTTGCCACCTCTTCCCCACCCCTCCTTCCTGAGGAGCAGCACATGGAGAACTGCCGCATGATGGTGGAGCACTTCCCTGCCGGCGCGGTGCTAATCTCCCACGCGGGCGAGGAGGGCGAGACCATCCTCGTTCACAGCGCGCTCAAAGCCATGCTGGGCTCTCCTCACCCTCTTACCCTTCCCTCATTCCCCCCCCCCCCTCCTCTCTCAGGAGCAACACATGGAGAATTATAGAATGATGGTAGAACACTTCCCGGCTGGCGCTGTCTTGATCTCACATGCGGGCGAAGAGGGTGAGACCATCCTCGTCAACAGCACTCTCGAGGCCATGCTGGGCTGCGAAAAGGGCTCCATTAACAGCGTCGACAAATGGTTCACTACACTATACGCGGAAAAAGCGCGCCGCGCGAGGCAGCTCCACGAGGCTCGGCGCGTGTCTGGGAGCAGCAAGGATGTGACGAACACGGTGCAGCAGATTAAGAAGAAGGACGGGTCGAAGCTGGTGGTGGATGTGACGACGTATCAGTTTGACCTGGGGGAAATGTGGCTCGTGAATGACATCACCGAGAGCCGCAAGAACCAGTTCAAGTTCCGCATGCTCTTCGAACTGTCCTCGGTATGTGCTGCCCCAGTCTCTCTATTATGCTCTCTTGCATATGCATGCTTTCGTCCACGTGTGGCTCGTGAATGACATCACCGAGAGCCGCAAGAACCAGTTCAAGTTCCGCAGGCTCTTCGAGCTCTCCTCGGTGCGTGCTGCCTCGGTCGAAACCACCACCCCCTCGCGTGAATCCTCCATGCAATCCATAGCTTCCTTCCGAGTGCATGCGCTTCGTTTCTCACCTTTACTGGCCTTCTTTCTCTCTCTGTCTCGCTCTTCCCCTCTTCCCCTCTTCCCCTCTTCCCGCACCTTCAGGATCCCAAGCTGCTGCTCAACCAGGATGGGCGCGTGTTTGACTGCAACCAGTCCGCCATCCGCATTCTCAAGTGCGGCACCAAGGAATCGCTCCTAGGCAAGACCCCCTGGGAACTCTGCCGTCCGCAACAGCCCTCAGGCCAGCGCTCCGCGTTCCTCAAGGCCGTCCTCGACGACCTCGCCGCCAGCAATAACGTCCCCGCGCCCGCGGGCTCCGCGGGAGGAGTCCCGGGCGCGACGGTGCTGAGCGGCGCGTCCGCGGTGGGCGGGGAGAAGCGGTACCGATTCGATTGGCTGTTCGAGGACGAGGAGGGGCAGGACGTACCGGTGGAGGTGTTATGTAAGATGGTGAATTTCTTTGGCGAGCCGGTGTATCTGATGGTGTGGCACGACATGGCGGAGGCGCGGAAACAGGAGGCGGAGCTGCGGAGGGCGAAGGCGGAGGCGGAGAAGGCGAGCAAGGCGAAGACGCAGTTTTTGGCGAATATGAGCCACGAGATCCGCACGCCCATGAACGGTGAGATTTGGATTTTCCCACCTGATCCCACTCGATTTACGTCTCGTCATCGCACTGCCACTATCATGCATGCTGAGCGGACGGCTCATCCCCCCTTCCTTTCCCCCTTCTTTCCCACGCTTCTTTCCCCGCGCTTCCTTCCCCGCGCTTCTTTACTCTCCCGCATCCAGGAATCATTGGCGTCGCTGATCTGATGCTCGCGACGCAGCTCTCTCCGGAGCAGTGCTCGCTGCTCGAAACCCTAAGATCGTCGTCCGAGGGCCTGCTACACATTCTCTCCGACATCCTCGATTTAAGCAAGATCGAGAACGAGAAGATGGTCCTCGATTTTAGCAACTGGCGGTTGCGGGAGAACGTGAGCAACTGTGTCGCGCTGTTCCACGGATCCGCAACCGGGAAAAACATCCGCATTAAAGCGCGAGTCGATAAGGACGTGCCTATCGAGGTCTTCGGAGACTGCATGCGCGTGCGTCAGGTGGTCACTAATCTACTAAGCAACGCGATTAAGTTCACGCCGGCCGGGGGACACGTGTCGGTGCGCGTCAGCCTCGTGGATCCGCACGCTCCGGGCCGTGGAAAGCGGCGGGAGTCGTTCTCGAGTTTGGAGCCGCTAAGAGAAAACGCGGACATGGATAAAGTGGTGGTGCAGTTCGAAGTGAAAGACACGGGCATCGGGATTCCTCCCCATGCTCAGAAGAACCTTTTCCAAGCCTTCAATCAGGTACGTCGCAATAAATCTACACCAAAAACGATTTTCTATCATCTGTTAGAGAGCTGATTCTTTTTTCATTTGTGTCGATGTGGATCATATTTATCAGCTTGGATTGTTTCTAAATGATCCGCTCACTTGTTTTTATGCAGGCTGACAACTCCACATGTCGGAGGTTCGGAGGAACAGGCCTTGGCTTGGCTATTTGCAGGGCGCTTGTCAACCTCATGGGTGGCGAAATCAACCTTACAAGCGAAGAAGGAAAGGTGAGAGCGTCTTTATAACCTTTTCTTTCCCCTCCTTTTTTTTCTTCGCCAGATGATTTTGATGCTTCGCCTTGTTAGGTATCTCACTGACACATTATGTGTCTCCTCTATCTTTATTCTTTTGCAGGGCTCTTCGTTCACCTTTACAGTGTGCCTTGGGGTCACAGAAGCCGCTCCAAGTGACGTGGAGAGCGCAGGGGAGGAAAGCATTGGCGATGAGGAGAGCGAGGAAGAGGAGGAGGAGGAGGAGGGAGAGGAAGACGAGTACGAGGAGGGCGAGGAAGAGGAGTGGGATGAGCTGGGCGAGGAGGACGAAGGAGGGGTAGAGGATGATATGAACATGGAAGGAGAGGGCAACATGCCTGAGAGTCAAACGGACGACGAGGAGGAGCATTGGGCGAGGCACTTGGTTCGGGCAGCAACCGAGATTGCCATTGGCCGGTCCCGAAATTCTCGGTCTCGGAAGGGAGGGAACAAGGAAGAAGCAAGCACACATGGAGGCCGTGTGCTGAAACAACATCACTCCATGGATTGCGACAGTGACGCTATGTTTGAGACGTCTCGGTCGCAAATGACAACTCCCACCTCTTCTTCTTCTTCTCGGTCCATCTGGTCTGCAGGGAGCCGGAGAATCAACCGCAGCCCGACCCCTCGGCACAAGAAGGCTCTGCGTCGGGCAGATTCTAAGGAGATTTTCCTGCCCATTGCGGTGCTGGCCAATACCAGCACCAGCAGCAGTACCAGTAGCGGCACTAGTAGTGGTGCAGCGGGTGCCTCTGAGTGTCAATCCCGGCTTCCTAATTCCTCAGCGGCAACACCAGCAGCTCCAGCCATTCCTGCTTCACCCACCCTCACCTGGCCTCCCATCATCTCTGCCGCTTCTCCTGCTGACAATGACTCTTCCTCTGCTGCTCCTACCCCTGCTGCCACTGCTTCTGCTGCTCCTACTGCTTCTGCTGCTCCTGCTGCTCCTAGTTATCCGCCTCCCCCCAGCCCTGCCACTATCTCTGCTGTCCGAAGCCTGTTCAGCAAGTCTAAGAGTGATAATTACTTGCTGAAACCGAGTGCAACGGAGGGAAAATTCCTCACCCGCAGCAAGAGTAAACCCAGGAACCTACAAACCGCAGGGAGCAGCAGAGGGAGCGCCGACAGGAGTGCAGACAGCAATAGCAGCAGCAACACAAGCAACAGCAACAGCGGCGGCAGCGGCGGCGGCAGCAGCAGCAGCAGCAGCAGTAGAAGTATCCATAGGGCCAGAAGCACAAACAGCTTCACGGAGAGGATTAGTGGCACTAGCGGCAGCAGCAGCAGCAGCAGTGTTCGCAGGAGCAGCAGTACAACTAACCTCAAAGAAATGGCCAACAACAATACCTCCACCAGCAGCAGCAACAGCGCCACCACCGGCAGCAGCAGCAGCACGAGCAGAAACGGCAGCAACGGGCGACGAGTGTCTATCGCCATATCTAAACCCTCCTCGTCCTTCAAATCTCACTCATTACAAGACTGCTCCGGGCCTCCCCCTCGGCGATGCAAGACACAGGAGAGACCCCCTCGCTCCCCTTGCTCCAAATCATCCCCAGCCATCCCTCTCACTTCCCCCCTGGCTTCTGTGAAACGAACCGGCAGTGCCCAATCTCTCGTAAATGCCGGAAAAGGAGGAGGTTCGGGGCATGGGGGGCACGGCTGTCACAAGAAGGTTTTCACGGACGAGCTGCCCGAGAAGCTGCCCGAGTGTGTGAAGACGTGGAAGGTTTTGGTTGCGGAGGACAACACGGTGAACCAGATGGTGGTGACCCGCATGTTGAAGAACCTTGGGATTGCCACGGAGGTGGCAGAGAATGGGCTGAAGGCGCTCCACGCGTGCGAGAACAACCACTACGATTTCATCCTCATGGTGAGTGTGCCTTCTGTGAGCGTAAGAACATTCTGCTCTGTTTCTCTTTTGGACTGATTCCTAAGTTATTTCAGTCTACGCAGATTACGGGAACAACATGGCTGCTCCCTTCACACATCAGCTCACTCTTAGCCTCTGATCCCCCCCCCTTTCACTACCTTCCCTAATTCTTATCCTTTCCTCTCTGCAGGACTGTCACATGCCGGAGATGGATGGGCTGGAGGCCACAAGGCAGATCCGTAATGCGGAGCAGCTGCTGCCAAGCCGGCCGCCCAAGTTCATCGCAGCGCTCACTGCCAGCGCGTTCGACTTCGAGAGAGAGGCGTGCTTTGCTGCTGGCATGAACCACTTTCTGACCAAGCCGATTCGGCCGAAGGATTTGGAGGACCTTGTGATGAAGCTGGTGGAGATGCGCAAGTGATGCGGTGTGGTGCGATGAGGACAACCTTATTGTGGGATGGGATGCGATCCATAGTGATGCGGCGTGTTTTTTAACTCGCATGTAATGAAGTGAGGAGTTCTACATTTGGCATGGAAGCGAAGGTTGGCTAATGTGGAGGATGGGGAACAGGCCCTCGGATTGGTTTGAGGGTATGCTGATGGATCAGCGTGCCCCGGTCGCCCAGGTGTCCAAATCAGCGTTCATGGTTTTCTTTATACTGATTTTGCCAGTGTAAAAGTTATAAGTAAGCTGAACCATCAGTGCAGCCACAGTAGCAGCCAACACGGGCGTGCCAGACAGGGTCTTCAAACGGTTGGGCAGATGGCGAAGCGGCTCAGCAAAGGAAATGTATGATACACCATACGTCGAGCCTCTTATCGAAGCCTCCTGTGACCTACAAGACATGACGCATGCAGCATCATCGGCACAACACTCAGAGGCACTCGTACACAACCGGAGGCCCCTGCTGCCCATGTCTCAGAGACCCCATTTGTAATGAGAACGATGCCAATTGATAAGAATAAGAAAGCACGCTTTCTCAATATTATAAATTCTTAACACACATTGTGTTTTTTAAAATTGTGTATTGTGAAAGCGAAGCTGCTTGTACTGCACAATTGGCATCATCGAAGCGCGCTAAACGCCGTTCTCCAACTACAAAAACCGTGGGTTGGAGTTCATTTCCCTCCACCCACGCTTCTCGATTTTCCAACGGCTCACTCAACATTTCTGCTCACGTAGTTTATCCCTCCGTCCAAGCTGGCTAGAACAAAATCGCTTCCTAGAGGCGAGTCACCTTCGACCTTACTCAACGATATTTTTAACTTCAATCGCTCAACGATGGCACCGACGCCGACACTTAACAACGGGAACTCGTCCAACCCCGCCTCTGACAACGACCGTAACACCCGCGATTTGGCGGGCGAACGCCGTAACAAGCGACGGGCAGAAGATGGACCGCCCGCCCCGACTGCAGTGGACGTGCTGCTGGGCGGGCTCGAGGTCAACAATTCGGCCAACGCCCAGCAGCACCCTTCGGCGCCAGTGGCGCCAGTGACGCCTGAGGTGCCTGTGGCGCTAGTGGCACCTGCGGCGCAAGTGGCACCTGCGGCGCAAGTGGCGATGGCCGCGGGCGTGGCACACGCCAGTGACGCTGAGCACACGCCAGCACCCGCGGCTGGACCGTCGCGTCAGCGCCAGACGAGGCGGACGGCGGTCTCCTCGTCTGACGCGACGACCGCCCCTGCGTTGACGCAGCCGTTGACCCCGGACCAGGTCAACGCGCTGCTGTCCCTTCTACAGCAGCAGCCCGTCAGCGTTACAGCCGCGGAAACTGCACTACCCGCTACATCTGCGTCGGCTAAAAAAGAAAATGCGAAAAAAGAAAAAAGGCGCGCGAGGAGCAAGGACCATTCGGCACGACAACGACGCAGCAGCAGCAGCACCCCCCGCTCCAGCGGTCGACAACGACACCGACGACTCTGAAGATGAAGCCGGTGAGGCCCCAGTCAACAATGTTAATTTTAATGGCACGGAACACCTTCCCCCCCTCCCTTCTTCTAACCTCACCTTCTCGGCGGCAACATTCGTCAACGACTCCGTGCCAGAGCAAGCGGAGCTGCTGGAGGACTTACGCGCGTACCTGCTGCACGCGGAATATAAGGCGCAGCGCAGAGACCCAGCGGGCGGACTCGAACTCATCTCGCACGCTCTCAACCTCATCTCGGTGCGTTTCGAGGTGCTTCAAGTAGAGGACGCATCCGACTTCCGCACGGCGAAGCGCTTCAAGTTGTACCAGCAGAAGAGCCTGCTGACTTCTCGACCCTTCAAGCAGGCGGTCGCAGACATGGCGGCAATGGACCGTGCGGCAATCGGATATGCTCGTGCCAACCGCGGCGGAAACAACGCGCCGTTGCCGTTTTTACCCAAGCGGGGCCCCCCGCCCACGGCCAATTGCCGCGGGTTTCGGGGCTCGTGCTTCCGCTGCGGCCAGCCGGGCCACGTGGCAAGTGCCTGCCCTAGGAACGGGCACGGCGGCCAAGGACCCGCTCCGGTGGTGTAGGAGCGGGCCATGGGAATAGGCGCTTGAGCGCTAGGCACGGTGCACTCTTGAGTGCGAAAACCGTGGGCAACCCTAGGGGTTTGCGATGGCAAGAGGCCAGCCCTAGTGAAGGGTAGGAATAGGCTTTGGGCCTAGGATAGGGAAGGGGAGCAACAACCCCCTCGGTCCCATGTAGTTCACCACTCAGTAGCATGATGCATGCTAGGAGAGCATTGCTATGTGTGTTGGTTGATTTGATTTAAAAAAAAAAAAAAAAAAAAAAAAAAAAAAAAAAAAAAAAAAAAAAAAAAAAAAAAAAAAAAAAAAAAAAAAAAAAAAAAAAAAAAAAAAAAAAAAAAAAAAAAAAAAAAAAAAACTACCTTCTTAAAAGCCTACTGTTTTGGCAAAGAGACTCTGAAACAATCAAGAGGAGGATCAGAAAGAGAGAAAGTGTGTTGTCAGAACATTATAGCTTATATATTTGTGTAGGCTATAGTGGGGTATCCCATAGGGGGTACAACCCAATTAGGGTTTCCTATTTGTACTCACTTCGTTCATAGTCATTTCATTCTCGTTCACTTCTTCTCATGGTATCAGAGCAGGTTCCCCTGTGGGAACTGTGCTTAGGGCCCACCACCACTACCTCGTAACTTTTTTTTCTGCCCGGAGCGTCCTCCGGGCCCTTTCTCTTCTTTTTTTTTTTTTCGATCTGCCCTAACGGCCCCTCGAGCCTGAGCGCCGCCCGCCCTAGCGCCATAGCGCGGCCCGCCCTAGCGCCATAGCGCGGCCCGCCCTAGAGCCTGACGACCGCCCGCCCTAGAGCCTGAGCGCCGCCCGTCGCCGCCCTAGCGCCCGCGCGCCCGCTAGCCGCCCGACGCGCCGCCCCGTGCGCAGCCCGGGCGCTGCCCGTGCGTCGCCCTCAGCAGCTCGACGCGCCGCCCGTGCAGCCGCCCGGTGAGCTGCCTGTGCGCCGCCCGACGACCCTCCCGGGCAACTGCCCGTGCTGCCGCCCGTGCAGCCGCCCGCGCACCCGCCCGTGCAGCCGCCCGCGCACCCGCCCGTGCAGCCGCCCGCGCACCCGCCCGTGCAGCTGCCTGTGCAGCCGCCCGTGCAGCCGCCCAGCATGCAGCCGCCCTCAGCCGCCCGTTCAGCCGCCCGTGCAGCCGCCCTCAGCTGCCCGCTCAGCCGCCCGTGCAGCTGCCTGTTCAGCCGCCCGTGCAGCCGCCAGTGCTGCCCGTGCAGCCGCCCGTGAAGCCGCCCGTGAGCCGCCCTGTGGGCAGTCCGTCACGACGCCCCGCGCCGCCCGTGTCACCCGAGCCGCTGAACGCCCGAGCCGCCCGAGCCGCCCGAGCCGCCCGAGCCAACCGAGCCGCCCGAGCCGCCCAAGCCGCCCGAGCCGCCCGAGCCGCGCGAGCCGCCCGAGCCGCCTACGGTGCCGAGCGCCGGGTCCTGTGGGGCTGCTGCTACTCCTAGGCCGGCGGAGTTGCTGAGCTGCCGTGTTGCTGTCCTACTGAGCTGCTCGACCCTTCCTCTCTGGTGAGACTGTCGGCTGCTATTATGGCCACCCCTAGTGTCCTGGCCTTTGACGCTGAGGGTCGCGCCATTGACTTTGCGGTCTGGGTCGAGGACCTGCAGCTGTACTTGCAGTGCGATTCAGTAGATGACATCTCTCTCTTTGACTTTGCCTCTGGCGCTGTCCCTGCCCCTCCTGCTGATGCTGACCCCACTGTTCGCTCCAAGTGGGCCACACGCGATGCTGCTGCACGTCTTGCTGTGCGTCGCCACCTCCCTTCCTATGAGCGTGCACACTTTAGTCAGTGCAAGACCGCTCAGGCCTTGTACGACGCTGTAGTTACGCGCTACTCCTCCCCTTCCACTGCTACACTGAGCCGCCTCATGCTACCTTACCTCTTCCCTGACCTTGCTGCCTTTCCTACAGTCGCTGACCTCTTTACCCACCTTCGCGCTAGTGACACTCGCTACCGAGCTGCGCTTCCTGCTGCCTTCTGCGCCGAAAACCCCCCTCCCATGTACATCACCTTCTACTTTCTAGTCACCCGTCTCCCTGAGTCCCTTCGTGCTGTTAGGGACCAGTTTCTCTCTGTCTGTCCCACCACCCTCACTGTCGACCTCCTCGAGAAGTCCCTGTTAGCGGCCGAGAAGAGCATAGTCGCTGTAGGGGCCTCTCGTGGTGACCCCCGCACCCCCATCTTTGAGGGGTGTTCTCCTTCCCCCCTGTTACCCTTTGTCGCCTCTGCTGCTGCGGCCGACCTCGTTGGTCTAGAGTCGGTCGGTGCGGCGTCTGCCCCCAGCGGTAGGCGCCGCTCTGGCAAGGGCAAGGGGGGCAAGGGAGCGGGTGGAGCTAGCGGGGGCGGTGGCGGAGGAGGTGGGGGCGGCGGGGGGGGTGGGGGTGGCGGTGGAGGTGGGGGCGGGGGTGGAGGTACTAGTGGCGGCAGTGGAGGCGGAGGTGGCGGCGGAGGTGGCGGTGGAGGTGGCGGTGGGAGCGGCGGGGGCGAGGGTGGCGTTGGCGGCGGTGGCGGCGGAGGCGGGGGTGGCGGTGGTGGAGGTGGTCGGAGTGGCTCGTCCCAGCGGAGCAGCACTGGGGGTGGTCAGCGCCAGCAGCAGCAGCAGCAGCAGCAGCATCGCTCTCGCGACGTCCCCGCCCCTCAGCAGCTCCGTGAGTGGTACTTGCAGCGTCAGCGTGGTGGGGCGTTCGGTCCCTGCACCTACGTCCTTCGCACCGGCGTCCGTGCGGGTGAGCAGTGTGGGGGCACCCACACCGCCCGCCGCTGCTTTGCCCGCCTGACCGACGCTTGGCGCCAGCAGTTTCCGGAGGCCTCTGAGATCCCCCGCTGGGGAGAGCTATCTAGGGCTGGTGTAGCTATCTTTGATCTGGACTTTGATGCTATCCTTGCTGCCATGTATGCTGTGACTGTTA